ACTGCTATGATAATACTTATAGACCTGGTTATATTATATCTTTACAAATATATGTCCCATTCCATGAGAACAAAACTCATTGGTTGTTGATGGTCATTAGTGTGAAGGATAAAAAAGTCTATCATTTTGATTCATTTCAAGATGTGAACCAGTTAGAGGAACAAAGAAGAAACATGAACTACATGATAAATATATTTGAATATATTTTCCATAAATTATCTTACCCAACATTTCCACCAAATTACAAATGACAGAAAATATTAGTTATTATTTTTTTGTATAACAAACCCAAAAATGTATTTTGTAGTGTGTAGTACTTGAAAGCGTCTTATGTTCGGACTATTTTGCTCCTAGAATAATCACTAGTGGAGATGTTATTGGGTTAGGGCCAGTGGTAGAACCTAGGGACATTCCAAATTGTTGACGTATATTTGTTATACACTAATTATTTTATTTGGTAACGCTTGTCCTTCTTTAGATTATAACGAAAATAATTACACTACTTATAATATTTGATATTTAGTGGTGACTTTGCAACATGGGTTCTCGAATAGCTATCCATAGGTACTGCCTTTCAAAAATATTTATTAGGAGTGGTAAGGTTGTATGTGTATCGTAATATAGGTGGTTAGACATTGTACATCGTTATATGTGTCATTTTATGTTTTTTTTTCGTGCAGGTAGGTCAACCACAACAAAATGTGGATGAAGACAGTTTTATGGTTGTTATTGTATCCATTTAATGACATACAAAGATGTATGGAAACAAACACATAAGAAATGTGGAGACAATTGTGAAAATAATAGTGCTCCACGTGATGTCATATTTTGCTACCACTGTTTTGTCTCTATCGTTGTATATTTGGTACAAATTTCTCGTGTTTATTAGACTCTTGGTAATTTCATCATAGTTTGACGTGTATTAATGGGAAAATTACATAGAAACCTATTCCAGTTGTGATGTTTATTAAACCACCCTTGGCTAGTACCACAAACATGGAGTCATTTACAACTATCGCTTTTGCCATGGTTGGTAATGTAACATTTTATTTACGGTAAAAGTTTATAGATTGTAAACAAATAAATTCAAGATCAATCTCCTTGAGTTCTTTTAAGTGTGTTTTTTTTAATGTAATGACCGGAATAACATTGTAGGGCAGGAGGTTAAACAAGAATAATATATAATAATCATGTAAAACTGAATTTAATGTAAAAGTATATAGAAACGTACTGAGCAAGAATGAAATTGCAGGAATAGAAATGTAAAACAAACTAGAAAATAACAAACTGGAATTAAGCTGCAGAAATGTAACATATGACTTCTGTTGGGAACAACAACAATCGTGAATCTGCTTATAGCTAGTATCTGGTTTGGTGCAAAATTTTAGCATGCAGAGTTATAGGTGCAATGTCTGATGCAAAAAGTCATCCTCCATAATGTAAAGTTTGATAAAATTTATAGGCAGATGCATCTGAACAACTCTCCTCCTTTTGTGGGTCTCTTGATAACTACCTTTTGCATGTACTTGTCTTCAATTCCTGCCGTCCATTATATATAACCGCTTGTGATTATGCCTTCTCCATAACTGTTCTTGCCCACGATCAGTTCTTCGTGTCTCTGACCTTCAACTAGTGGTGACTACTAGCAATTGCTACTTTAGTAGTCGCTTCAAACCTTGTAGTTCTTTTGACATGTTTCTTCACTTTTTTAGCTCCACTCTATCTCTTGAACTTAGAACAATTTTCTTGTCAATTTTTGTTTCGACAAGTTTTAGGAGAAATCTGTGAGCTCCATCCTGTCTCGTGAACTTAGAATAATTTCTATTATTGATTCCTATTTCGACAAGTTTTAGGAAAAATCTGTAAACTCCATCTTGTCTTGTGGACTTAAAATAATTTTTCTTATTAATTCCTGTTTTGACATGTTTTCAATCTAGGATTCAAAAATCGCCAAAACTCCTTAAAATACAACCCTTTTTCCGACAAAAATTGAGGCTCCTCTTTTGACCCTTTAAAACTTCTCGAAATGTGGCATTCTTTTCGATAAAAAAATAAGGTTCTTCTTCTAACCCTTTAAAACTCCTCGAAATATAGCCTTCTTTTTAACAAAAAATGAGGCTCTTTTGCCAATCTTTATAGAAACGTGTCGAAAAGTAGTTCTTTCGACAAGATTTTAGGATTTAGATATTTTCATAAGTTCATGGCTCATCAAGGTGTAAGAACCTAGAATTCTCTTTGATTTTAGTCAAAAAATTTGTCCATACTACCAATTTTTTAGGTTTGTTTCTCCTCATAAAACAGTTTATTTTCTACCATGAAAGTCTAATAAGGGCCTTTGTAACTTAAAAATTTTTCTTTTCTCCAAACACATTCCTAAAAAATAAGTTGAGATTGAACTGAAGAAGGCTAATTGCTGAAAAAAGGCTCAAGTTTAGTCATTATAAAAGTTTCTTAGTATGCATGGGCTAATAACTCTCTTAGATTAAGTGCTCAAGCAATTCTAGTAATAATGAAAACTAAATGACATTAATGTGAAATTAGTATAGGCATATGATTCTAAGATGGATTTAATAATGTCTGTAGAGAATAATAAGTAAAGATGGATTTCTAATTTAACCACGTTATATGTCACCTCATCATGTCATTTCTGATAATTTTTCACCTGATAATTAGTCCTAATTAATTTACATCACATCGTATGCCTATCGGCTATCTTACACTTACACAAACGGTGCTACTATTCAATCTGATATTAGTTATTGTGGTTAATTTTCCTATCTCAGGTAGGCTTACTATCTGATGAGGTTTCACTACATAATGTGCTAGATGATTGCTGATTGGATCCCTGAAGACAAGCAGAATTTAAGAAATAAGGTAATGAAAAATACCATACCCAAGACATTTATATTGTGGGGGAAATTAAATGTTTGTTGGCTAGCACTCTTCTTTGGGCTGGATCTAATTCTTGCAGTTTATATGCTTAAGTTCCTATGACTAGTTTAAAAACTCCATTTCAAGGTAGATTGTTGCAACATGTTGTTGAAGATGTGTTGAAAGCAACCAAGGTGTCTCAAATGTCAATGTTAATTTTTTTAATTTTACTGTCTAGAGGTTTGGAAATATGTCAAGCATCTATCACTTTGCAAAATGACTTGGACAGAAGATGCTTAGGCATTTAATTTATTGAATTACATATTTATAAACTCAATTTTCCTTTTTCCTTTCCTTCTTTAACCTAGATGGAAAACTTCTCACTTAATGCTGCTCAATTGATCATAAAACATTGGACTTGTGAAAAAAAATCTTTCTCTGTTTGTATTCCCATTTTAACGATCATCATCTATGTTTATTTCAGCGCTACTAGTTATAACTTTTGCATTGGATTCATGTTTACATAATTTTAGTAAATATAATTAGTAGTATTAAATTTATGTTTACATAATTTTAGTGAAAATAGCAAGTAGTATTTAATGTGTTAAAGATCCTAAAAAAATGTAAAGTACATATAAAAAAAAGTAATAGATATACATAATAGAACTTAGTTTCATTCATGCGACTTTTGTTTTATTTATTTTCTACTTTAAAAAAATACAATTATTTATATATGTATGTAAAATTTCTTATAAAGAATTATTTAATATTCTATATCTTTACATTTATAATATACTAATTTTTTTATAATAATACTCAATAATGGATATTAGTATACTGTCAATATAAAGCACTAAAATTATTATTTTTTATTGTACATTATTTTACATGTTAATTAATAATAATAATAATTATTATTATTACTATATCAACAAAATAACATTTTCTTTAAATTTGAAGTTAAATTATTGTGTTTTCCGAAAAATTCGAAAGGTTTAAGAGAAATCATCGTAACATATAAAATATGTAAACGCGAGAGTTAATAATATCAAATTATGAATGTAAAAAGATACAAAAGCAAATACAACGTAAGGAAAACACTTATGTTAAATCAAGCAAATAAATTGTATTTTTTGATGTGAGATTAGATTAATAAAAGAGAAAAGTAATTATCACTAACAGGAAGAAGGTAATTAAGAATGTATTCAGGTTGGATAAAGGTAATTTAATGGGGTAAATGAGAAAAATCCTTTTAAAAATGCACGAAGGCAACCATGTGTATTCTGTGTACTGTGCGTATGGGAGTTGCACTGCCACGCTCATTTTCTTCTTTCTCGGGTAAGAATCAGTAATTCAGTAATAATATCATTATTAAATTTTAAAATTATATACTTTAAAAAATTTAACATATGTTTAATGATATATAGTAACAGTTTATATACAATAATTTTTTATTAAAAATATAAAATTTAATATATTAACAATATTAACATTATAATTCATAATAAAAGTATTATAAATAAATTTTTTTATTGTAGAATCTGTTAAAAAAATTGTTTGAAAAATACATTTAGAAAAGATGGAATTGTCATACACCAACTAACGAAAAAGAAAGAGACAAAAATGAAACGAATTGTTTGGCGGTAGAATAGTGCGTATCAAGTCCACAAGATTACTAATGTAAACGTACCCTAACTATGGAGTTGGTATATATCTATTTGGAAAGAAGCTTTAGTGTGGGATATGATACAACAGAGAAAACTATTTAATAAATGTTAAATTAATAAACCATTGTTGACACGTATTATTTATCTTAAGATGTTTTTATATCAGTGAACCAACAAAGGGTTTTGGTTGGTCAATACAGCAAAAGAAGGGTTAAAAAGGCCCTCGCAAATCTGGGGTACCGTACAAAGCACCTTAGCTTATTATCCATCCATCAAAAGCCTCTCCTTCCCCTTGACTTCGCTTACTCTGCAGTTCTTGGAAGGTAAACTAAACTGCAACTTGCAATCTCTCTCTGCTATTTGCTATTTGCTATTTGCTATTGCTTCGTGTTTGGTAGTTACTGTTACTGTTAGCTATATTTGAAGTGCGCACATACATTAATGAATTGGCGGTGCTGATAGATGGGGAAGGGTAAACCTAGGGCTGTGGAGAAAGGTGTGGTAGGGCCAAGTCCCAGCGTTACGCCGTGTGGATCGTCCACTATACCTACGGGGCCTGTCTATTACCCTACCGAGGATGAATTCAAGGATCCTTTGGAGTATATTTACAAGATTAGACCAGAGGCTGAGCCTTATGGAATTTGTAGGATTGTGCCTCCAAAGAGTTGGAAACCCCCTTTTGCTTTGGATCTTGAATCTTTCACTTTTCCTACCAAGACTCAGGCCATTCACAAGCTCCAGGCACGCCCTGCTGCCTCTGATTCCAATACTTTTGACTTGGACTACTCTAGGTTTTTACGTGATCACTCTAGTAAGAAGTCCAGGAAAAGGGCTGTGTTTGAGGGCGAGGAGTTGGACTTGTGTAAGCTATTCAATGCTGTTAAGCGGTTTGGCGGATATGATAAGGTTGTTGATGGAAAGAAATGGGGGGATGTTGCTCGCTTTGTGAGGACAGGTGGGAAGATTTCAGACTGTGCTAAGCATGTGTTGTGTCAGTTGTACCGTGACCGTTTGTATGATTATGAGAGTTTCTATAATCGCATGAATCAAGGGGCAACCCTGAATTGTAAGAAAGGTGGGCATGAGGACCGCAAAAGTGATCAAGCCAAGGGGCATCACAAGAATGTAGATTGTTTGAAACGTAAGGATTGTAAAGTGCAGGAAGAAGAACATGATCAAATTTGTGAGCAATGTAAAAGTGGTTTGCATGGGGATGTCATGCTTTTGTGTGATAGGTGCGACAAGGGCTGGCATATTTATTGTCTTTCCCCACCATTGAAACAAATTCCTCAGGGAAATTGGTATTGTTTCAACTGCTTGAATTCTGATAGGGACAGCTTTGGTTTTGTTCCTGGGAAGCACTATTCATTGAAAGCTTTTAGACGCATAGCAGAGCAGTCAAGGAAGAAATGGTTTGGATCAGGACCAGTTTCAAGGGTGCAAATAGAGAAAAAATTTTGGGATATTGTGGAGGGATTGATTGGTGAGGTTGAGGTTATGTATGGAAATGACTTGGATACGTCTGTCTATGGTAGTGGTTTCCCACGCGCATCTGTTCAGAGACCACAATCAATTGATGACAAATTATGGCAAGAATACTTGACTAACCCATGGAATCTTAATAACTTGCCTAAGTTGAAAGGTTCAATGCTTCGAGCTGTTCATCACAATATCACTGGTGTCATGGTACCCTGGCTATATATTGGGATGCTGTTCTCGTCATTTTGCTGGCATTTTGAGGATCACTGCTTTTACTCAATGAACTATCTACACTGGTATGCCATAATTTATTTATTTGTGCTTCCCATGTACAATTATCCTTTTGTTTTTTCATAATATATATTAATTATCAACATAATCAAGATATCAACTCTTATTTGTTTTTCAAAATAAAATAAAATAAAACCCTTTCTTTCAGGAATCATGTGCCTGTTTTTGTAGTATGTAAATAGGATAATTTAAGGTGATGTAGAGTTGGAAGCTGAGCAGTTTATGAAGAAAATTTGTTCCATAAATAATAGCATAATCATAGGAGCAAGATCTGGTTGTATTAGGGAAGATTCAACTATATTAAACTTGTCATTAATCATTTTCACTTTTGATGTGCCACACGTTGATTCGGTAGCAAAAATATTAATGAAAGAATCACGATGGGAAAGGTTGTCAAAATCAAGTTTCAAGGTTGGAACGGAACGGGGTGGTTGGTTTGCAGGAGTGGTGAATTATAACATGATTCGTAGAAGGCAACTAAAATGCTGAATTATATGTAAATGCACATATATACATGTAAAATATAGCATAAATAAAGAAAAGTAGCCCTTAAATCACAGGAAACACTTAATAAAACTTAAATTAAAGATTCATGACATCTTATACAAGTTAAAAGTCATAAGTCACATAAGTTTTTGACTTAACAAAGGCAATGCACCATGAAGTGTAAAATAGAATACCCACAGTAGGTATGCAGCAAACACCCCAAACATTGTTTTTTTGGCAACAACAGAAACCCAATTGCCCACATTTTCTCTTTAGAAAATCTCAGATATTTCTTGTACACACAATTCCGGCCCTTAATTTGCCCAAGACTTGAATCTGGATCACAGCATTTATTTGCACATCAAGGAATTCATGAATTTGGCATTTTCTGCCCTGCAATTTTGGCTCTGATTTCTATTTTGTTCTAGGGGAGAGCCAAAGTGCTGGTACAGTGTTCCTGGTAGTCAAGCCAGTGCATTTGAGAAGGTAGGTCTTGGATTCTTGTTATATCTATACACTATTACTTTTTTACCCATTTTTTAAAATGTATTTAATTGATTTTTAATTCTGTTGCATCTTCCAACATTTGCACTTGCAGGATTAAAGGTTTTCATAGGAATCAACCAAATTTATTTTGTTATACTTGCTATTAGATCCTGTTTATTTACCCATGTAACTTTTCTAGTGTATTTGCACATAAATACTTGCATGCATGTAGTTACTGTGGGTGCACATGATCTGTGTGTGAGAAGGAAATAACATTTTTTTTTTCATTCAGTAAACAAAGAGTTTATGAAAAGGGAATAGTTTCAAATGGATTCTACTCATTCATTGAAATCATTTTGCTTTTAATCTAAAAGGAGAAAAACATGAGAGTGTAGGTGGACTTCTAAGATGACCATAAAATGGTTGGCCACCTTTTCCTTATTAATGAATATATGGAAATAGAGTCATATGCGTTGTAGAAGGATTTTTTTAATAATTGCATTAAAGTGATGTTTGAAATTTTTGTTTCATTTTACCAAATTTTGACAATGTTAGTGAAATTTCAATTAAATAAACAAAATAAACTCATTATGTGAGATTATCAAATTTGGGCAACTATATTATTAAAATAATCTTTCAAGTGGTCTCCTATGAACTAAAATATAGTTATACTGAGTATAAACTGTTAAACATTTGTGTGTTAATATAAAATGAATTTTCAATTAAATAAAATCTGCTGATTATCTTTGCTAATAAATATGAGGTCATTATGTTTTTCTGTTTAATTCAAGTTTTTGGTACTACTGACCACATTTCATTTTATGTGAATTTATTTATTACTTGTTACATATTGTACCTCCGATATTGAAATCCAAAATCTGAAAAAAAATTATGTATCTTTTGAGACTATATTTCTTAACTATGTGCATGGACAAATATTTGTTGATGATATCAATAATATTGTCTACTTCCTTGTAGGTGATGAGAAGCAGTCTTCCTGATCTTTTTGATGCACAACCTGATCTGCTTTTTCAGCTGGTTACTATGTTGAACCCATCTGTCTTGCAAGAAAATGGAGTTCCTGTCTACAGCATACTTCAGGTTTCATATAACTCTCTTATTATTGGTGATTTTTTTACCCTTTCATCTTGCTGTGTTATAAATGCATGATTTTAATGAAATCGTGAAGTCAGAAGGCAAATGCATTAAATTGTTTGTAAATGATATGACATGGAAGATAAATTAGCACTCTCCGCAGTAAGTGGATGCATATAATTTAATTTGTCATCATATATTGGGTTGCTCTTGAAGATTTTACATTGAAAGCCTTTGGTCCAAACTTATGATAGGTCCTTTTCACTGTACATCCGTGCTTGTCTTCCAGGAAATCTATACAGCAGTACTACTACTTTTGCTAGTCATTGTCTTCTCTTTACATGCATTTAGTGTGTCTGTGTTTTCCATCGAAGTAGAGCCTTGTTTCACATTTTCTTCGTTGTAACCTGTGCAATGATTTTCCAATTAGTAACCAAACACTGCCTTAATCCTTGATTTGTTTCATTCCATTGTTGACATTTGCCAGGAGCCTGGGAATTTTGTTATCACCTTCCCCAGATCTTATCATGGAGGTTTCAATCTTGGTATGCTGATTGCAGTTTTATTTTGCAAGTTTAATACATTCTGAAATATGTCAAGCTTAGTTTGATTTGTTTGTGTTCTCAGGTTTAAATTGTGCAGAGGCAGTCAATTTTGCTCCTGCTGACTGGCTACCACATGGTGCTTATGGAGCTGATCTCTATCAGCAGTATCACAAAACTGCTGTCTTGTCTCATGAGGAGCTTCTTTGTGTAGTATCCCAGGTTTGCACACATTTTGACCTTACTGAATTTGTTAAAGTGGTAATTTCTTGATGAGAAAGCTAAGAGGGTGCTTGGTTTATTTTCTTGTTTTCATTTTCAGTTGGTTTGTTTTAATTATAATTACAAAAATGCAACCCTGTTTTCATTCTTTTTTTTTCTCCAAAATTTTGAGGACAAGCAAATATAATGAAAATATGGTAGCATTTTATAAATTATAATAAAACAAACCAAACAGCCCTAATATTTGAGGTATGTAATTTGTTATTCAAGTCTAGCAAACTAAACTACTCTTTTAAGTTTTTTTAATCTTATTATACAACAACCAAACCTTTTTTAACTAGGTGGGGTTGGTTACTTGAATCAAATGATGTCATAATTCAAAGAATTATGTCCATAGACAAATCATCGACATCTAAATCCGTTTTTATGTCTTTACTATAGATGCCAAAATAAATAACAGTTACTGATTAAAGAAAACAAGTATTGTACTTGTTTTTTTTTTTGGGGTGGGGTGGGGGGGGGGGGCTTGAGTGCATTTGTATTCCTAAATTGTGATGGCTTCTTTGGTTGAGCCATTAGAAAACAGATAATTCTGAACTTGTGCCTGATGTAAAGCCTTGTTAGATTGTTGTACTTGTTTATGTTGTTTCTAGATTTTCTTAATTAAGAGTTTTTTTTTCATCCTCCTATTTTTACTTCAAAAGTGCACTAATACTTTTCATATCGTTAAAGTTAGTTGTTGACTGGTCTGGCTTACTACATGTTGATTTTCATCATTTTCAGTATGGTGATGTTGATAGCAGAGCTTCTTATTATTTGAAGGAGGAATTGTTGAAAATATCAGATAAAGAAAAATCTTGGAGAGTGAAACTTTGGAAGAATGGTATTATTAAATCTTCTCGCATGGCTCCTCGAAAACGTCCTCAATATGTGGGAACTGAAGAAGTATGATTTTTTTAAACATATGGTAATATATAATGATAAGTCATTATTTCTGTCTCTTCTGATTGTGTTTACATGGTGTCTTTTGTAGGATCCAGCATGCATTATTTGCCAGCAATATCTCTATCTCTCTGCTGTTGTATGTGGTTGCAGGCCATCAACTTTTGTTTGTTTGGAGGTAAATGAATGTGATTGAGGTATTGATAATGTATGTGATTGTCATCAATAACTCACCTGCACCATTGCATCAATGTGAATGCTAAAGAAAAGTGTTAATCAGCACTGAGGATGTATGCACATTCATATTCACGGTTGAATCATTCAACTTATTTGTTTCAGCTTAAGATTGGAGGAACTTAAAGATTTATAAGTTCCTTCAGATGGCTACTCAACTGAAGTGAGCTCTCTTCAATATTCTGCCTGATGTGGGGTGTGAATGTATCTGAAAACTAACCTTTCCCATGGAAAGAGGTTGTGTGTTTATGTTTTTTATGTAAGTGAAAATAGGTAAAGTGTATTATGTGATTCTGTTGGTGTGCTTACAAAACTTGTACCAGTGCCGATAAGGGAAAGGATTGGTATTATTGCATGACAGATTTAAGGATGTCTGGATTTTAATAAGTTGATTATGGATTTATGGTATTGTGTCTGGTCCCTTCCTCTCGGTTTTTAGTTTCCTTCTTCTTTTCCTGTGTCTCTTTCTTGGTTTGTACTTAAAGTTCACACTGTCTTTTTACCTAGTGGTTGTTTGTTCTTTTAAATTGAATGACTTCATAAACAAACGTGGATGCATGTAATTGCCAATCAATTATGTATCAAGTTGGATTAGTAAATTTAGTCCATATAGAAAGTGTTTGTAATGATGATATTATAGTGGTAGGAAGTTCAGATTTCTAGGATTTGAATGGTCTTGGTTTTTCCCTTTACGGATGGTTTTTTTCTTTTTTTTGTTCTGGATTGACTGAATTCAGTTTTCTCTTGTGCAGCACTGGGAACACCTTTGCGAATGCAAAACTGTAAAATTATGTCTTCTCTATCGTCATTCACTTGCAGAATTGTATGACTTGGCATTTTCTATGGACAAATATGCTTCTGAGGAAAAAGTCGAGTGTAGAAGTGTGAAAAGGCAGTCTTCATGTCTTGGTGCTTTGACCAAAAAGGTCATATACATATAAGCATACTTCTTTTTAACCTCCCAAAATTTTCATATTATAATATTGTTTCCAGTAGTTAGATTTGCTTATCTTTCTGCAATTAAAGGATATATATGTCCTCATGCTTCTATATCTTTAACTGTGCTGTTCTCCTGTAAGTTGGATGTTTTTTATTTAATTTTTAATTTTAAGAAAAAAAGTTATCTAACATGGTGTTTTTATTGTTTTGTATACCTTTGTGTTTTTAATAAATTTACTGTTGTCTTCTGAGACTCCTCAATATATGTATGTAGGTGAAAGGTAGCACCATTTCTTTTGCTGAACTTGCTACAAAATGGCTTGTGCAATCTAGTATTATTCTTCAGAATGATTTTTTGAGTGATGCATTTGCTACTGCACTAAGGAAAGCTGAACAATTCCTTTGGGCTGGTTCTGAGATGGATTCTGTGAGTTTTAGCCATTGCTTTAGAGTTTGCTTCTATAAAATCATTATGTCCTATACTTAAATATTTTCTGCTGCTTTTTGGGATTCAGGTTCGAGATATGGTAAAGAATTTGATTGAAGCTCAGAAGTGGGCTGAAGGGATAAGAGACTGCGTAAAAAAAATTGAGTTATGGTTGTGTCATCAGGACTCTGTCAAGGAAGTTCAATTAGAATTTGTTGATGAGTTACTGAAATTTAGTCCTGCACCATGCAATGAGCCTCATTTTCATAAATTGAAGGTGCTTTTCTAAACACACTTCTAAGTTGTCTTTGATAGTTGCATTTTTCTGCCTTTTTTTTTTTGTTTAATTATGTTGATGCAGGAATACGCAGAACAAGCAAGGTTGTTAATTCAGGAAATTGATACTGCTTTGTCAATGTGTTCAGAGGTACTTTCTCCTAGACTTATTATATGTCTTTTCCTCATAACTTCATATTGATCATTAATATGAAGTAGAGATTTATGTTCTTGCTAATAATAATGACGTGTGGTAACATTTTGATTATCCTTTCCAGTCTATTGCATTTGATTAAAATTATTTATTCCAGATGTCTGAGTTGGAACTTTTATACTCCAGAGCTTGTGGCTTGCCCATCTACGTGAAAGAAAGCAAGAAATTAGAAGTGAAAATTTCTTCAACCAAGGTAGATGTTGCTGTGCATGATTGATAGTTTTGCACATCTTTTGTACTTTGCTTGTTCTATGCTTAATCTTTCATTTATATTGCTTGGTATTTTGAAACTTTTTTCCTCTCCAAAATGACATTTTCATTTGAAGATTAGGTATCTGTTGATGCATTTTGATCAGATTGTATTTTAACAACTTAATACAATGAGTAACTGTCTTTTTCTCCAGTATTTGACACATTTGCACTGAACATTCAACCCAAGAGAAGAAAACAAAAAGAATGACCAGTATTGGGTTTTAGGAAAGAAATTGCATTTGGTGTTTTTGGTCTTTTGTTGTAAATTTCTGTTAGATTAAAACCAGTATAAAAATTTGTTTTCCTGAACATGAGGATATGGTTACTTAGGAATGAAATTAAATCTGAGCTGGAAACTTGCAACCAATGGAATTGTTGTTACTCATCGTTAAAATAATCTGGAAGTGCCATAGCTATTTCTTGCTAATGAGACACAACAACGAGTGTCATCCCCTGATTCAGTTTTTTTGCTGGTTGATATTGTTCATCCTGTGGTGTGAAGGTGAGAATGATTGAGTCTCCAAATTCTCATGTTAACAGAATAGAGAAAACAGCTTTAGGAACGGACTTCAAGGACTTAAAACTTTGGTGAATTATGGTTGGCTGAAAGATTGGAGGATTAGGTAAATGTGATCATGAAGATCTTGAGTTGGAATATCAGAAGAGTAGGGAATCTACTGAATGAAACAAGTTGGTGGATGTCAATAGACTTTAGCTTAGACTCCTCTGGTTGGATGACAATAAACTCAACTCCCATTGTGTTGTTTACTTTAGTTCAGTTTTGCTAGCTTATAGATAAATGGATAGATGGCAGTGGTGGTTTGGTTTGGTCTGTGGTCTCACTAGGGATTGCCTTTTTCTAATGTCCAGTTTACTTGGCTAATCTTTAGAGAGCTTGCTGTTTGGCCAAGAGTCAAGACTGGACATATTTTTGTGCCCAAGCACCTGGGAGGAAATGCTGTTCTTATGCTAAAGATCTTGTATGACCTTGCTTCAGATGCCCATTAAATCTAAAATTTTGCAAAGTTATAGTCTGATCCATTTGTTTTAAGAACTTGAAATCAATCATCATTTTATAGCACTTTTGACAAAGATGTCTGGGAGAAGGTTCTAGATTGGAGGCCTTTAATTTTATTTATTGTTTTTTATCTTAAAAAACCATTGTTGAGATAAAATAGAATTACATGTAGTGAGGACAAAAAATACCTCCACAAACAACAGAAAATGCAAAATGTAAAAACATAAGGACAACAATAATAATTTATTTTGCCTTCCAATCTCTATAAATCTGAGTAAACCCTAAAATTACCATGTGCGGAACATAACATAAAATTAAAATGGACTTTTTATTTCTCAAATTGTAAGGAGCTAATAAGTGACTTGAAAAGTTACTTTGATTTTATCCATCGTGCTTTATTTGTAAGAGTCACCTCTTCCTGGGTAAAATCTTGAGTTTTGTTTTGTTTTCTTAACTGCCCCAATTTTCACAGAAGCAGTTGTGCTGTACCCTAGGGTCTAAACTTGTTGAATTATCCACTGTTTTTATTTTTTGTGGTGCTAACATGATTTCTTTGAAAACTATCAGGCATGGCTGGATGGTGTCAAAAAGTGCATCTCAGCAAGACATCCTGCTGCACTAAATGTTGATGTTCTTTACAAATTAAAATCAGAGGTAATAAGAAATTAAGAACTCTTGAAACTACTCTGGCTTTGTTAATTTCTCAACCCTTTTTCCTGTGAACATAAACTTCCCTGTTTATTTACAATGTTCAAAACAAAAGCTTAAGTTCATGTGTGAGAGGTGGGCAATTATTGATAATAGATGGAAATAATTTTCATTGCTTATGTATTGAAATAATATATTGCATTTGTTTTTCTACGGCATAACAATGAAGTGACATATAAATTTAATTATTGGACAAGTCATGCATTGCTGAATTACTTCATGTGCTTAGCATTTATTTGAGCAGTATAAGTCAGACACAGAGATATACATACACACATTGTGCATCAAATAAGTTATACTAAGATTATAATACGAAATTCATGGTTTCAATAGTTTGCGGATCTTAAAGTTCAACTCTTGGAGATAGACACACTTCAAAATCTATTAAGTCAAGCTGAATCTTGTATTGCTCAATGTCGTGATATGTTAGAAGGTCCTATGAAACTTGAGGTATGCCTTTTGTATTTCCTTACCTCTTTTACTTTTCTGTGATAGTTAAGAGGCATGAAATACTTTATTAACTAAGGAACTCTGCAGATTGTTGGTTTGCTGCTGAAGGAATGGGAGAATTTCACAGTTGATGTACCAGAGCTGAAGCTTTTAAGGCAATACCATTTAGATGCTGTTTCGTGGGTTTCCCACACTACAGATGTTTTAGGGAGAGTTCACATACTGGAAGATCAACATAATGCAGCTGTTCAATTGAAGAGCATTTTTGAAGAAGGTTTATCTTTGAAAATTCAAGGTATTGTGTTCTTGCAGTTTTATGATAGTTAAGATTTTTTTTTTAAGACCATTACATTTGTTTATTTTCATTCTGTTAATTTACAGTTCCCCAAGGTTTGATTTTTATATTTTGCAGTTGACGAGTTGGCATTAGTCGAGATTGAGCTGAAGAAGGCTAATTGCCGGGAAAAGGCTTTGAAGGTTAGTCATTATGTGTATTCATACTATAGCTGTTCTTTCATATCTCTCTCGGCCTTTCTTTAATATCGAAAGATAAAGGTTTTTTTTAGCATGCAAGGCTAATCAACTTTGTTAGATTAAGTGCTCAAGCAATTCTTATAACAATGAAAACTAAATGAAATTATTGTGAAATTGTTACAGGCACATGATTCTAAGATGCCTCTGGAAATCATTCAGCAACTGTTGAAGGAGGCCACTATGTAATTTTAACTCCCTTTCCTCATCTGAACCGACACATCATTGGTTTTTCTTTATTTAATCCGACCATTTTCTTTTGTTACTGATTCTTCAGGCTACAAATTGAGGGAGAAAAACACTTTGTCAATTTATCTAGTGTGCTTGCTGTTGCCATGCCTTGGGAGGAAAGGGCTAGAGAGATACTTTCACATGAAGCTCCTATATCTGACTTTGAGGATATGATCAGGTTCAACATTGCTTGAGATGTTATTTTATGTTTGTCAACTTAAAAAACTTATTTTAACTGATGCTAATTTTTGCTTTTGGTCTTCTTTTACAGAGCTTCAGAAAACATATTTGTTATTCTTCCTTCACTCAATGGTGTTAAGACTGCACTATCAGAAGCTAATTCCTGGTTAAGGAATTCAAAGCCATATTTAGTCTCTGCTACTCATGTTTCAAATTCTGTTTGGAAAGTTGAGGACTTGCAGGTTCATGCAGTGGTTTTGCGGTTTTACCTTTGTTGAAAACATGATCATTATAAATTTATATAATAAATATGACATTTTTTTTTTTTCAGATGTTGGTTTCTCAATCAAAGCATCTTAAAGTATCTTTGGAAGAAAGAAGGATGCTTGAATTAGTTTTTAAGAACTGCAAAATATGGGAGTGTGAAGCATGTTCTCTACTGGACGATGCTCGGTGCTTATTTGAATTGGATAACTCTCTCCATGAAAGAAGTAGTGGTTTAATGCATAAAGTGGAAGATTTGATTGTAAGAATCAAATCTGCCATTACATCTGGTGTATCACTTGGTTTTGACTTCAATGAGATTTCAAAACTTGAAACATCTTGTTCTACACTTCAATGGTGCAAAAGAGCCTTATCTTTCAGCAATTACTCTCCTTCTTTAGAGGTTACTATTCTTTTCTAGTCACAATTTATGTTTCTTAGCCATGTATTTTCACAAATTTGTCTTTTCTTGACTTTTATACACAAGCGTATGCTTTCCTGCACCCCACCCTTTCAGCGTTCAACTGCTGTCTTTATCATGCACATGCTTCTTCCATATTTACCTGCCAACAAACACAAAATTCTTGGTGTGCAGCTAATTTGGTTTATTTGATAAGTTATTAATAGCATGGTATTAACTTGATCTACACTGGTTATATAAGGTCGTTCTTCTGGATGCCTTAAAGTAAACTGTATATCTGGTTTTATCGTCATGTCATATCAAATTAATTTCTTGTTGCAGTTCAATTACAAATGAATAATTGTAGTGTGGTGCTACAATCTCAGTTTTTCCTTACGTGTCATGCCTTCACAGTTTTTTCCTCGTTAAATAGTTTTCTTTTGCAATTCCTTTTTTATTCTTTTTCGTTTACATGGGGCATAGCTCTTGATTTAGGATAAGTTCAGGTGTTTGGCATCTATTTGGGGTAAAGCACATTAGCACTTGGCCTTTGGAATGTGGTTTCACTAAAGATATGTCGAGCGATTTAGCTTCTTTATTCCATTTAATTTTGCTATTTTTTTTTTTATCTTTGTAATATTTTCCCTTCATCTTATTGAATTTCTTTTATCAAAAAATAAATAAAGGTTCTCGGTTATACTTATTTATGAGAGATGTTTGCTAATCATGTAGGATGTTTTGGAGGTTGCAGAAGGTCTTTCTCATTCTTTTGTTTCTGGTGCTCTGTTGAAAGCTTTGATTGATGCCGTTGAATGGCTTAGGAGAGCATTGGAGGGGATTTCTGGACCTCGCAATTCTAGAAGATGCAATTTGACTGATGTTCAAGATATTCTTACCAATTATCAGGTACTAAGGTTGTGTAGTTTTTTAATCCATTGACTTTAAGTTAGTGCCTAAATTTATTTTATTTTAAATCAATATCAGAGATATTTTTTAGAGCATTTATTAATTAGGTTCTGGAAGTATGCAAATTTTTTCTTATCATAGGGGGATATCCCACCCTCTTCTTTCTATACCCTTTGTGCATGGCATGGGTTGAAAATGAGGGTAAACATTTCACGAGAATGAGATGAGACACATGTACTGAAGACTTAAAAGCTCATTCTGCTTTATATAATTAATGGATTCCTATAGTTTCCAGCATTCCCAGTTTGCGTTATTTGCAGGTCTAGCTCAGAATAGTAATAGTTTATTTTTGTATCATAAGGCAGCTGCTTCAATGCTACCATATGCAACCAAACATTTTTGGATTCTAGATGAGCACTAGATTCACTCTTTCTTTGGAACAATTTCTGTTTGTCTGTTTAGGATATAGTTTTGTTTATGTCATCTTATTGATGGTTGATTCATGGGAATTTCCATTTCGAATATACAAAGAGACTGGTCAGCTTTGGTGTATTCTCAAACCTTTTTTTCCTTCCTCTTCTTCTGTTTTGGGTATATCTTATCCTCTTCCTAATTTTGCTTCTTTCCTCTAATATGTTTTTTAATAAAAAAGGCTAGAACTGTGTTATGTAGTTAGTCAGTTCTTTGGTATTTTTAGTTGGAGCATAATACTCTCTCACAGTCTCATATTTGAAGCTAAAAATGATGCATCTAACATTCTATGAAATAGGATTGGGTTTATGGTTTCTTTGTGCTGTTACGGGCATGACCCTTTCAAAGGAGTTGCTAGTACCCACAACCCTTTTGTATTCTCAAATATCATATTTACAACTCTTTTCTTGTTGCATATCTTTTATTTTATCCACCCGAAGTTATGTTTTCCTCATTATAAAATGTCCTTTTTCATAAAAGATGAAGTGTTTGCTATCTCAACTACTTTTATTTTAAAAATGATTTTAATTATTTAATTAAACATGCTAATTAATTAAGGACATTTAAGTAGCTTTGGGGACAAAAAAGTTAGTGAGAAAGCTTCTTGCATGAGTGGGTGGTGGTTAAGGATATAGTGGTTGGTAAAAATTATTTTGGAATTTACAGCTTATATCTATGTTTCATCTGCAGACTATTAAAATGACCTTTACAGCAGTTAATTGTCAACTTGAAGAAGCCATTGGAAAACATAAGTAAGTCTTGTTTATTGGTTGTTGTAGAATTAAGATAATATTTTGTTAGTTTGATTTATCTAGTCTTCCAAATGGTAGTTTATCCTTCTTCTGGTCTTCTGTATATGTTGTTCTAGTAATTCATAAGGTCTTCACTCTTCATTAAAGTTTCAAGTAAAATTCTAGATATTTAGGTTTTGCACTTTTGAATTTTTTATAAGCTTTTATTGAAGTCATTCCCATTTTCAATTTGATTCTTTGCCTTCCAACACTGCTTTCTGAACTACATCTATCTTCCTATCAATGTATGCCATCATCTTGGTTAAAACTATATTTGCTCATGTAGTGCACTGTTGACTGAGTGGATGAAGACTTGTGCGTTTCCAATTATTTATGTTTAAATATTTTTAATATGCCTACATAATTGTATTTTATTTCTGCTTTAGGTTGTGGCAAGAGCGAGTCCATCAATTTTTTTGTCTAAGTTCTAGGGAACGCTCTTGGTCATCAATATTGCAGCTCAAGGTAAATTTTCTTGTTATGACTAGGTGGCCTTTATGTGTGTTATTGTTCAACAGATTGACTTTGGCTGCATTACACAGCTATGATTTTCTTTTCTGTGTGACTATGTTGTGGTGTCATATCTGAAAAAGTTGAGGTCACAATGGTCTGGGTTTTCCTTGTATTTAATGCAAATTGTTAATGGCATGGTTTACTTTCTTCATTTTCTCTCATTGCTGATTTACTTAGTCCTTAAGGGTTGTTTTGAGTTCCTTGATAATTTGTTTTTCATATTTTATGGCACCTTTCGGTTTAAGCATTTCATTCAATTGTTTTAAATTTTGTATATATTCTTGGGATTTATGACATATCAGGCTTATTCACGCATCAATTGTGAAAATTCTCTTTGAAAAGGTGAAAGCTTTCACAACTGTCATGAAGCCTTTACCAGTTTGTGTTTTATTTTAGTATATTAGGACTTGACATATCACTGGTCACTTGCATAGCATTGACATCAATTGTTTACATTCAGGAACTTGGAGATACTGTTGCCTTTAGTTGTTCAGAACTGGATTTGATTTTATCTGAAGTTGATAAGGTGGAAAATTGGAAGAAAAGATGCATGGATAAAATAGGAACTGTAGTCCAAAGTGGGAATTCGCTGCTTCATGCACTGGAGAAGGTTCTCATTTTAAGATATTTCCCTTTCCATGACCAGTTTACTAATTACTTATACTTAAAATCTTGCTTGATGTTTTCAGATAAAACAGACTCTAGATAGATCGTTGTTCATATATGGCAAGTTGGAAGATCTGGAGGGACAAAATCCATGCATCTGTTGCTTTGATGATTCTGAAGATCTGGAATTTCTTACTTGTTCCACTTGTATGGACTGGTAAAGTACTTGTTTCTAAATATTGCATTTCCATAGCTCTGAAAATTAAATCAGATGCTAGCAGATAATCCTCATATATGTGGTTGCTTTTATTATTCCAGTCATTGTAAAGAACAACATTGAATCCTACTCTTTGCCGTTCTAATTTCTGATTAAAAACATGGTCTTGATTTTGTCAATTGATTGTAAAAAATTTCGTTGTTGTTTCTGTACTTTTATTTCATTATTAAGAAATTACAATGATTTACTTGTTCTGTTCATTTATCTTTCATGTGGACAGCTATCATTTACAGTGCATTGGACTAACAGGAAAAGTCAGAGGCATTGAAAACTACAAGTGCCATTATTGTGAAATGTTGAAGGATGAATCCCATTATCAGAATGGAGGTGCCTGCCTGGTAGGATTTATTTCATTTAGCAGTAGTTGAGTGGTCTCTTTTAAATTTCCTTTCATAAACTAATATTTGTCCACCTATTTTTTGCTTTATGCAGACATTTGGAAAGAAGCGTATTGAATTGAAAATTCTTGCTGAACTCATGGCTGATGCTGAACATTTCTGTTTATGGTAATGTGGTTCACAACTTGCACATCATATCTATAAGTACAGCATTTATAAGATGACCTGATTACAAAACAGCTGATTACAAAATAGATGAGTTTAATGGATGCAATTTTAAAATAGAAAAAGCATAGTTGCCAAAATTTACAAGAAATTTAAGGTTTTTTGAAGCCACAATTTCTTTGTAAAGCATGTCCTGGTTTGCTTGTTAAATTACTTGTGGTACTCTAAGAAGCCCTGCTGAAAACATTTTATCAATAAAATTTTGAAGCTTTTGCTCTCAAAAAACCACTAGCATCGAAAGCTACAATTTTACCAGACAATGCTTATATAGAGCATTAATTTCTAGGTCAGCAGCAGTAATATTATCAGTGATGTATTATTTTCTCTAATCATTGGCATCAGTAATCATCCATACGTGCCATTTATGTACAGTGTCTTGATATATATTATTTTTATTATTAAGTACTACCATGAATAATAGATTCAGTTCTTGCCACTCATATTCTTAAGTGTTTTTAGGGAAGGTATTGAGTGTGTGTTGGATGCTTTTTGTGGAGGGTTCTATTGGTGTGAGGCAGATCATCATATATTTGAGAACCGAAGGAAGAAAAGAGTGGATTATGTAATTTGTGTGCAGATGCTAGGACAGATTGAGGACTGGATCCCTATCAGAATGGGAATATTTGTTGTCAGTGTGTGTGTATTAAGGAGTCATATTCTAGAGGAGAAAGAAGCGGAGGACAAAAGTTTTATTCTAATTAATATATCTAATTTCATAACTTTTTGAAATGAAGGTTGTAAATTGATAGATTAGTATAAATTAAATGTGTTAATCTTTTATTCATTTTTTATAAATATTATATAACTTTAAATTTAAAGATAAAATATTTGTCCTCTCCTCCCTTTCCCTTTAAAACTGAACTCTCAATCACACCTTAAGAGTTGCATATGGCCTGTGCAGAGTTCAGATATATGTGGGATCCCTGAGGACAATTTTATGTTATCCTGCTTATATTTTTTTTGTTTAACAAAAGAACTGTCATATTATAAAGTGAATTTGGGTTATATTAGCATGAACTCTGCAACATGCTACTCATATAATTACACATATTTCTGCACTTTCTTTCATGGTTTTCTCTTTCTTTTCTATATTGTTAAGGGGGTGGGACTAGACTGGCATTCTATAAGAGTGGTGGACCTTTTTTGTTGGAAACTCTGTAGTGTCTGGGTTCATTGTATACAACAACAAGAAGAAGAGTCTCATCTCACTTAGTGAAGTCGGAACATGGATTACACGACATAATTGAACTTGATCAAAAGCCAAATTCTTAGAAATATTATTTACCATAGATTTCTTTTAAAAATTTCCGCTAAAGTTCTTGGCCTTCCTCTTTTCCATTTTCACAAAGCTAAAAATCGTGCAGTCCAATCTCTTCACTAGTGCTTCTAGTTCTAGTGACCTTTGCATATGTTCAAACTACCTTTGTATACAATAATTTCTTATTGTATCTTGTCTAGTTTCATTGTACAGGCTAACAAAACCAAGTAATTACAGTGATTATGATGAATGTAATCTCTTTTTTTTTTGGGCAAAATAATTCAGCTATGCTGTGCAGTGTGGACGTGGATTCTGTGATCTGCCTATCGTTTTCTCTTTCTTTAATAATCTTTAACTGTTGGTTTGTGATTATTGGTAAAAATTGTAGTTCATCGGTTGTGTTTCTTGTAAATGCAGGATTGATGAAAGAGATGTTTTGAGCCAACTTGTTGAGAAAGCCCTTTCATGTAAGTCTTGCTTAAGAGAGATAGTGACCCACGCATCAGCTGATGTTTATGAAGATATTAGTGCCATCTCTGAAAAGTTAGCCACTGCCCTAAAGGCATGTTATTTATTTATTCCATCAGTCTATTTCTTGTATTATTTCTATCGTGTTTGCAAGTAAAATGTCATATATATTCTTGGATATGCAGTGTCTGTATCCTCTATGGTCTTGATGCATAAATATTATTGAAAATGATTTTGTTCACATTTTACCTTTTAAATGGAACACTTGGTTGTTGCAATTGAATTGATTTTGCAACTTGAAGTTGTTATATAGGCTAGCAAAGTGGCTGTTGTCTACGATCAGCATGATAATTGTGATCTTGAGCTGGCTTTAGCAAAAAACTTGTGGAAAATTCAAGCCAATAGATTGTTAAATGGTGTGCAAAAGCCCTCTGTCAAACTGATTCAGAAGCATCTGAAGGAGGTATATGTTTTTGTCTAGGTTTATATTTGTGAGCTCATTGCATGAACGGGATAGCCTGCCCCCTTATTTATTTCTAGTACATTTTTACTTTGGTTCTTTTATAAAATTCGTTGCTGATAAAAACAACTTTGAGCCTGCTGAAATGTCAAATTGCATGGCAGGGAGTTGCTGCGGACATATCACCTGAAGATCACTATATGTTGAAACTTACAAATGTGAATTGCTTGGGTTTGCAGTGGGTAGAATTAGCCAACAAGGTTCTGAATTTTTTTAGCAATTCCTCTGTGCCCTTTCTCTTTCATACAGGCTTTTATTTAATATTTAAATATCATGGACAGGTGGCAATTGATTTTGGGGCACTCGACCTAGATAAAGTTTTTGAACTTGTAGCAGAAGGTGAAAACTTGCCTGTTGATGTAACTGAGGAACTCAGGGTAAGAGTTTTTCATGTCTGTATTATTAAAATTAGGGGATTGTTATTTACAGCATGATTTCGGTATGATTCTAATCAAGTATTGCCTTTCCTTCACAACAGATATTAAGAGCTAGATGCATGCTTTATTGCATTTGTCGAAAGCCGTTTGATCCACAAAGGATGATTGCCTGTTATCATTGTAATGAGTGGTATCACTTCGATTGCATGAAATTGCCATGCACAAGAGAGGTCTACATTTGTCCTGCATGTAACCCTTGTACAGAAGGATTGCCTACAAACCATGACAGGTCAGTTTATTGTATGCATATCTAATTAGTTCGAGAATAAGCTTTTTATATTGGCTTTGGGATATGTTTTTCTTTAGATTTACACCACATTACCCTTTTTAGCTAGCATTTCCGAAGGGTTATCAGTTTTCAAATCCAGATTACCTGCCGAAAAAACACATTCTGTTGTGTCGTAAAACATATCTTGTATAAAATTTGCTAGGTTTCAGCTGTCCTACCTGCATACAAGCCCTACATAGTGGCAAATGCTCTTTCAGCAAACTTGGTTGCCTTTTTATTAATATATGTATAATCCCATCTCTTTTGTTCATTGATAAATCAACATTGCGTCTGAAAGAATAGATCTGTCTTGTATTTGTGCTATCTACAGAAGGCTATTTTTTCATTTATTTATTTTGTTTTTTAAGTGATTATCTATTATGTTTTGCAGATTAACTAGTGGTAAATTTGAGGAGCCTAAAACCCCGTCTCCCAGGCATACAAACCCTAGAAAGAAACAGAAGAGAGATGTGCCCAGTCTCACTTGCAACATGTTTGCAACGAGGAATCAAGATAGTTGTAATGGGATAGAATCCCTAAGGTGGCAAAGTCGAAAGCCTTTCAGAAGAGCAGCTAGGAAACGTGTTGAGCTTCGAAGTCTTTCTCCATTTCTATGCATACAACGATAACTATGCATAGTAGATAATCATTGATCATTAAATTGATTCAATTGATTCTTATGGTGTCATTTGTCATTTTTAATCCATGGTAACGTGAAAAATTCATCTTCAATTCATTGTCATTTGCATGTCACACCATTTAAAATTACTAGGATAAAGATGGTGTGAATTAATGTTAGTAAGGATTAGAGTTATACAGCTTACAAAAAAGTGGGTAGGATTTCGATAAAATTCAGTTATGTTTTATGGTGGATTAGATTAAATCATAGTAAGAATCATTCATCCATCCTTTTCTAATTGTCTTTGTCAAGTAAAAATGAAATTACATGGAATAAACTCCCCAATTTTAGTTGTAGCATAAAGTAATTTTTGGATATTAGACTTAAAGACAAAATAAAGAAAGACCATAAGCTCACTTCTAATCGAGTTAGTTTTTATTTTTAATTAGTAACAGGGTCAAAGACCCCAGTGAAAAAACAAAAACGAAGTCAGAAGACAGGGAAATGAAACTCCTATTATACAATTCCTTAGAAACAGAACAAGGGAATAGGGAGGATAGTCCAATGCAATTGAGAAGACCCATGACTCTTATCACAAAATGCATGTGGTCTTGACCACTACCCACTCATGGTACAAGCGAAGCTTTGATCTCCTTTTCTCGCAAGTGTGGGTAGCCGGACAAGGATTCTGGACCAACTTCTGAGCAATTTCCATGTCCAATTCAATCACGAGCAATCTTGAGACCATAACCCCACAAATAGGTTGTATGTAAGAGCAAATGTCTAAATCTGCCATGAATCCTTCCATGAAGGACCCATAATTCCTGCGAAAAAGGCTTTTACAAGTCGCAGCACCTGTTAATATTTAAATCCTCCGTTTAGTTTAATTTTGTTATTTCTTTTCCTTTTCTTCAACTTAGTAAACGATAAATTACATTCAAACTTTTAAAATGTTTAATAAAACTTTATTAGATATTTTTTAACCTTGTATAAACCTTCCTTAATTCATATAACTTAAAAAAAACAATGAATAAAAAATTGCATAATTAAGATAATATAATAATATTATATAAATTACGGGAGAGTTGTGTAAAGTAGAACAGAGAAAAGGTAGGATTGTACTAAAATTCGAAGGATGTGAGTGCAACTTATCTTAATTAAAATATATCATTATATATATTTTTTTGTTATTTTCTTTCTTTCATCCAAACAAAACATAACTAATCCATTGATATTCAATTTCACCACCAAAAGGTAGAAAGCACCAGGTTATTATAGCTTTTGGGGGGAAAATATTTTTAAAACATGTATCAAATAACTTGTGGTTATTCAATATTATAATGCAATCTTATTATTATCGATGACATGTTTATGATCCTAAAATACTGGCAAATATTCATCTAAAACATTGCATTTACTATATTTATTCAAATGATTATTTCATTTTAAAACTGGTACATTAATAATGTGTTTAGTATAGTGTTAATTCCCTAAAGATATACGTAATTTTGTATAAATATTATGTTTAATCGTAAAAAATTAACATTATGTTTAATTTTAAAGAATATAACTGCTATATTAAGTTAAAAATGTTATACTAAATTTGACTATAAATTTACTTTATAAACATATTTTTTTAACACAACTCACTTTGTTTTTTTATGTTCTATTAAGAATCTCCAAACTTAAGTTTAGAAGACTTTGATTTTCATTTTTTCTCCCTAAAGCTGTGTCATGGGTTTTCAATGATTCTGTTTGAGCCCTAAAACTGCTTTTTTATTTTTAATTCTTTCCACATACGACTCATCTTCTCTGTGGCGTTCTTAGGTTGTTCCATCATTCACTTGACATAACTGCTAGCTGCCGAGAGAGAGAGAGAGCTTACACAACCGAACTGAAACCTAACTGCACCAATTCGTAACTTAGGCTTTAAGTTTATTTATCCGATTACGACTGCTAATCCGAATTTATGCGTAGATGAGATGAGGTACGTGAAGCCCTTGCAATTGTTTCAGGATTTGGTGAACACAAGCAAGAAGGAACATGCAAGGTTGCTTGGTTTGGATGTAGGCGATAAATATGTTGGCCTCGCTCTTTCTGACTTTGATAACAAAATTGCTTCACCTTTCAGGTATCATTTCCATCATATCATTCTCTAAATAAATTCAGCTTTCTTGGGTCATTTTTTTTCTGTAAATAATGCACGCGCTTTTTATGTTCGATGCCACAGTGTTCTCCTCAGGAAGAAGTCAAATATTAGTTTAATGGCTTCTGATTTTCAGACTCTGGTGAGCTTCCTCTGTTCTGTTTCCTGCATTCAAATTATACTTATATTTCTAAAGTAACCAGAAATTAACTTTATCATCGCCAGTGTTACAATTTGTTTTGTTAAATTGAAACTCTCTTTTCAATTTGTTGTCCTTTTCATGTCTTGAGGAACATATATGATATATTTGTTTTATCATTTATAGATACAAAAACTTAGTGATTTCCGTAATACTCCCAACCACGGTATGACAACTTCAGCTGTTTTTATGCAGATCTCTAAGTATTCCTTGAAGGGCTTTGTTATTGGCCTCCCTTTTGACAGACATCGGGTGTCTTCTGACGTGTGTTTCCTTTCTTTAACCATCCATATGCCACGCCGTACCGCTTTTCCTGTACTCATACATTTTTCGTTTTACTTTTTATCAGGCTGTGCAAGTGAAGGTCTTAATTGACTACCTCTGCAGAACAAAAATGCTTGAAGGTGTAAAGTATACATATTGGAATGAATGCTACACATCAAAGGTGAATTCACATGATTGCTACTGAGAAACTTAATGACTTCAAAATCTGTTTCATGTCTTATTTTTCTAACATGACTACAATCTTTCCCTTGGTTGGTGACTATGACTACAATCTATGAAGTGTGAACAAGTATTGTGTATTGAACATTTCTCTATGGGATGAAATGATTTCGCACATATCTGTATGAAATGATGTGGTTAAACATAAGTGGACAATGATTACGTTAATGAATGAAAGAGAATTGAGAAACTTGATAGAAATCACAAGCCACATCATTCATATAGTTTTCTTTTTGTACTATATGATAACTCTTGTGTATATTTAAAGAGAAGCTATTTTACGCTATTTCATCCAGCTAAACAAACTCAAGTCTATCTCTCTCTCCCTATTAATGAGTCAAAATCTGAAGTTACTTTTTTGTTTACAGAATGTGGAACTGCTGTTAAAGCCTTTGAATTTGAATCATCCATTTCATTCCAAGACTATACTAGACAAGTTTGCTGCTGTAGGAATACTTCAGGTATGTTCCTGGGTCTGCTCCTTGACATAATCAAGGCAGCATATTCACTCTTAAATTGCAATTGTACTGAAAGCATAATTAAGAATGTATTTAACCAGTTGGGCCTCATTGAATCATGTATGCATAGTTTTTCTATGTTAAGGTTTATTTGCTTTGAGCTATTCATTGTATGGGATATGTATGACCATGATAACCTTGATCTGAAGAATAAATGATTTCCACCTTTACAATTATTGAGTCACATTCTCAGCAAGATGACCATCTGACTATTTTTGTATTACACCAATATTTTCTGTCTGGTTTTCATCGTTCTGTCTGTTACGAGTTAGATTCAATTGAAAAGTACAATTTTTTAATCCTTTATTTGCATGGGACTCTGAAATTTAATCTGAACTATACAAACATACTGCTTAGTTGTTTTTTACATTTTAGATTGGAATTTTGAACTGAATTAGGTTTAGCTTACATCTACTTGTATGTCGGTATTTTGTAGGGATACCTGGATTTTGTCAACAGGAAAATGAAGATGACATCGACGGAGTAAGATTCTCTTAATAATGCTAGTTTTCAAGTGTGCCAATGCTAGCCTCAAACTTTTTATTTATTTATTTACATGATTGTCACTTATCAAAACTAGTCACTTTCTTTGATGGTTGTTTTCTTTTCCTTTTTACTTTTATGTACCTTTTCTCTTTTTTGGTTTCTTATCATTTGATGGATTACTGCTCTTTCTTCAGGTAGAGAGGCATGCACCAGAAATCACAACTAGAAATCTCTGAATTAGGGGTAGGTTGGTGGACAATGTAATGAGTTTTATTTTTTCCTATATTTTCATTATCTATTCTATATATAGCTGAAATGAAATGAAATTAATCCCATTATCTTTCAGTTTGATTAGGGTTAGTTTACACTTTACAGCCTTTCTTTAGTGAAAAAGATTAAGTGGAAGTTGGTGAATGCCTCGTTATTATTTGATAAGAACTGCCACACAACTTAGGTTGTGTACCTTCCTTTTTTATTCCAGTAGTAAGTAGAAAGAGGTTAGTAATACAATCTGTACAACTTTTTATCTCAAGACCGAGAACAAAAAAACTCGACAAAATACATAACTTGTTGGATCAATTTGTTGCATTTTTGTTGCGCTGAACACTGAATTCATCGTGAAATTCAATGTTTTGATTGAATTGGCTGGTAAAACACACGTTTTTTCATGCTTATGATTGTCGTCTCTTGATATGATGAATGATACTTCTAGAAATACTTAACCTTCATCAAGGTTCATTGGAAGCGTTATCTTCTTTATTATTATTTCTCTGTTACATTGAAGGTACAGTAAGCACTGGAGTAGGGTAAGGGAAAAGTTGACTTCGACAAAGATCAAACTTCTAATTAGAGATAGAAATAGGCCACTGACAGGACCTACAGTCTAGCCTTTTTAAAATTTAATCCAGTCTAACTTATTTAATTAATAGGCTTAATTTAGACTTTTTAAAAAGTCTAATTAATTAAATAAGTCAAATTTAAGTTTAAGAAAAAGTTTATTAGATCTATTAGAATGGCCTATTTAAAATTTATAATAATATATTAAAATTTTATATAAAATTTTTAATATAATAATATATTAAATCAATTAAATTTTAAAATAATAAAATCTTAAATTAAAATTTTTAATTCTTTTCGCTAGAGTTAAAAAATGTATTTATTACATATTATCTAATAGTTTATTTAGATATAAGTTTTATGAATTTTAAAAAGATATACCTATTTAGATGGTTTAATAGTCTGTTTACAAGAAAATTTAATAGTTTATTGAATATATCAATACGAAATAGGTCGTTAAACAGGTTAATGAGTTAAATCAGGCTTTTAAAAAGGTAGTTAAGTTCAATAAAAAGTCCATGACAAGTAATAGATCAGGTTTAGACTTTAAAATTATTAAACAGGCTAGGTCTATTTATACAAAGTCTAGCTTAGTCTATTTCTATTACTAATTCTCACAATATCGTACTCATATTTTAGGGATTTGAGTGGGTTTAAATTGAGATTCAAGCTTAGTAGGTTGAGAAAATTTTGAGGGGCATGTGAACAGTTCTCATTATTTGTATGATTTGAAGAAAAAGAAAAGGAGGTTGAAAATACTCGAGTTTTGCTGCATTGCAATATAATATAATTTGAAATAAAATGAGCAATTTTGTGTTATATGCAATTTTTGCTACTCTCCTTCAATGTGATTCAGATTATGCCCCTTTAGGGTTGTACGTGACTGTCAAGACAAGATGATCCTTGCAATAAGGTCATTGGGCCCAAGGGAGGCAATAGGCTGAGTAGCAATGTTTGTTTATTCAACCATGACGTAAAAATACGTATCAAGAGAATGCATATAATTTGAAGAATGACATCCTCAATGGTTGCAGCTGGGTCAACAATGGGTCACAATTAAGAAAGAATGCATATGATTTGAAGAAACGACGTCCTCAATGGTTGTAGTGAGGTAAACAGTTGCCAGGAAGGCAATGCATGGCTGTCACGCGTTGGCGACGAACCCTACAGTGAGATGGTGCATGGCGGATCTCAGAGCTGTCAGGGATGAAACACTAGGGATAGGCTGATCTTGGTGGTGCACTGTCGTCAGAGTTGGTCATTGGTCTAAAGATAGTGATCATGGCAATAGTGATGGTGGTGGTAGTGAGAATGACTTTGTGACTTCGAAAAAAAAAAAAAAAAAAAAAAACTAAGCACAATGTACGTGTTATGGGTTCAAAGATACGTCGTAATGAAGACAATTGTTAGGTAGGGTTTCGGCACCTTGATGAAGATGACTAGTGTTCGTTATGCTGAAGCAAAGACTATAGGATGAGTCTCTAATATCAACTTAAAAACTAGTCAATTTATGTCTGGTTTTAAAGTGACGACAAACGTGTTTTAAAAAATATCTTTAAAAAATAAAATATTTTTTAAAAATTAAAAAAGTTGTCATCAAAGTTTATTTATATAAAATCTTGAAAAAAATTTTAAATGAAAAATCTTTAAAATAAAAAATAGACTCGATAGTCGTTTATTTAAAAAAAGGTATTAGTATTTTATAATATATGTTTAAATAATGTTTACTTTCAATTAATTATGTAAGTTTATTATAATTGTGAAAATAATTTTTTAACTATTAAATAATAATTTTTATTTTATTTTTTAAAAGAAAAAAATTTATTTAATAAAATATTAATTGATATTTTAAAAAAAATATTTTAAAAACTGTTGACTTGACGAGTCCAACTTCTTATTTTTAAGTGCAATAAAAAAATTAAAAGTTACGTAATTTTATTAAAGAAAATTGTGTAATTAGTTTGTTAATTTGAAATTTATAGAAATTTTAAAAGAATTTATTATAAGATTAGTTTTATTTTTTAAAAATAAAATTATATCTTTTAAGATATAAAATAGTACAACTATAAATTTTATTCTATGATGGATGTTACAAAAGATGAAGAAAAATAATATATTTATATTGTAGATCGTTATAAAAGAGTAGTGAAATTAAGATAATGTATTTTAATTTATAAAAAGTATTTGAGTATATATTTAAATTCAAATTTTGATATAAAAGAAATTTAGAGTCTTTTAAAAAAATAAAATAAAAATTTCATGTTACATAAATTTTTTAAATTAAATATGGTTAAATAAGTTCCTAATTTGAGTATAATAGAAGCCAATTAAAATTGCGCGAGAAGTAGAAAATTCAACTATAATTGATTTTAATTTGCATGAAGAAGTGTTTGAAAAATTAATTATAATTAACTTTAATTTATATTAAAAATGTTTGTGAAAAGTCAATTATAATCATTCGACTTTGGTGTAAATGAAAAAAAAGTTGACTTTAATGACAAGCCTAATCCACAAAAGACCTTGCAAATAATCAACTTTTTTGTTTAAAGATCAAAGGAAGTGGAAAGCATTTTCAAAGAAAAGATAAAGACTTCACAAGAAACTTGTAAAAATCAATACAAAAATAAAGTAAGGGCAGATTTAAGTACGAGTTATTTGCAAAAGAATAATCAAGAAATCATTAAAAATAGCAAGATTGAGAGAGAAAATGATTTTAAAGAGCTATAAATGAGCATATTTGAGGGAATTTTAGTGATTATTTTGCTTGCTATATATTTTATTCATGCTAATTTACTGAATATAAGTTGTTCTATGCTTTAGAATTGTTTGAATAATTTTTTGATATGTCTACAAATTTCTGTGTTGGTGAAAGTTATATTGTTTGCTGTAAATATTTTAATGACATTATGTTATGCACTTTAATTCTTTGATTTTGACATATATGATGGTGCAATATTATCCTGACATATAATGGTTATATATTTGATTGTACTTATAAAGAGATTTTTGCAAATTTTTAAGGAAGATTCATAATTTTTGAATATATAGGTTGTTTTAATATAAAATTGATTCATAATATTTTCTAAAAATTACAAAAATTTCATATTAGGCCAGAGAATGAATTTTTAACAAATCTGAACTTGAAGAGATCATTTTGAAATTATTTGATAAATTTGAAAGATTGGACTATAACTAAATACTATGACTTTGACTTGAAAATAGGCTTCAACCATGTATGGAATATGGACCATATGAATGGGGACCACTTAGCTAATTTTAGAATTTTAATAATTAGACTTTATCTCTTGAAATGGAGAGAAAAATGTGTCATTTAACTCACAAAAAAGACCTTTTTAGCAAAATGATTAAGTTTGAAGACCAGATTATAAATTTTATAAATTATGTGTTCTATTTTGAAATAAAATTTAGAGATATTTTATCAAATAGAAGACTATATTAAGAGTAATTACTCACTGGTTTTATTGAATTTGGATTTATAATGAAGTGTAATTATGAATTTTTTAATATGTTGTGGAAATGACATTTTGTGTATAGTATAGTTAAATTGTGTTTCATCTTACTTTTTATAAATCTTTTAATTATGTGGATATTTTTATGATAAAGTAGACACTCTAAAAAAAAAATAACCTCACTGATTTTGTGAAAATTGGACTTGTATTGATTTAATTATGATTTTTTTACTAGATAATATTGGAAAATGGTGTTTTGTGAATAGTAGGGAAAGATTGTATTTCATATTGAATTTCATGAATACTTATTTTGTTTGTATTTCTATATAAAAATATACACTTAAAGGGAAATAATTTGACTAATTTTTTGAATTTTGAAGTTGAATTGAATTGGTTATTAATTTTGCAATGTGATACATGAAATTTGGAAAAATCTAAAATTTGCTAAATCTATGATGATAAGATTTTCTTGCATAAGCATAAAAGTGTACCTTGTGAACTGGAATATGGACTTAGATTATAATTACAATAGTAGAGTTCTTTTGTTGAAAACTATGTAGTATTTGCGTTTATTATGTATAATAATAGTAAGAGTAATTTCGATATTACCCTTCAAATTGGAGTATATAAATCTTATACACTAAGATTGTTACATATATAACTAATATGAAGACTTTTTAAGGATTTAGTTGATATATACTAATTGATTATTAGAATTGATGAATTAAGTAGTATTATCTTTAAATAAGTTTTTTTTTTTTTAATGAAGTGACAATCTATCTCTATATGTTTAGTATTTTCAAAAAAACTAGGTTTGAAGCAATATAAAGAGCAACTTGAATATTACATATTAGGGTCATTTGCATGTTCTTTCCAAACTTTAATTCTTTCAGCAACTACTTGAGTCATATGAGCTCATAAGTGGCTAAGTTATGACTCCATCTACTTCTACACTTGATCGTGTTATAATGCTTTGTTTCTTACTTTTTTTAAGAGATGAAGTTGCTATTAATGAAAGCATACTACTTAGAAGTTGATATCTTATTTGTAGGAGAATATATACAATCTACATACGAATATCTCACAATTTGAGTGTGTCCCTAGAGATCCCTTGATATATTTTATGATAAAAATAGTTGTATTCCAATGTTCTTTATGAGGAGAATTAAGAAATTGACTTTCAACACTCACAATAAAAGAGATATCAATATAAATAATAGTGAGATAATTTAATTTTTCAACAAGTCTTTCATACTTCTATGGATTTATAAGGCTCTCCTATTCTAGTAGGAATTTGATATTAGGGTCTTACGAGTATCAAAGGATTTGATACTTATCAATTTTGTCTCTTCTAAGATGTCCATGACATATTTTCATTGAGAAGTTATAACACAATTTTGACTAAGCTACTTCTATCCTCACGAAGTACTTAAGTTTATCAAGATCCTTTGTCTAAATGTTATGGTAGAGATGTTTCACTTGTGAAATTCTGTGATGGTCACTACTTATGATGATAATGTCGTTTATATAGACAATGAAGTGAATGCATCTTGCATAAACTGGCATAAAAGGCAAAGTGATCAACTTCACTTGAAGTCATATCAAATTGTTGAAACACTATTAACTTGTCAAACCATGCTTAAGGAGATTACTTGAGACTAGGAGGTTGTTTTATATAGACTTCTTCCTAAAACTCTCGATATAGAAAGACATCTTAGCTACAGAAAAGAATGTGTTACATTAATCTAGATAAAAAAAGAAAGAAAGAAAGAAAATATAGGTGTAACCTCTGGCACACTAGAAAAAGAAAACATCAGAAGAGATAAAATAGCAATAAAGATTAGGAGAGTAATACATATATTATTTTTTAGATTGACTACATTTGTGAGATCAAACAACAAGTTTATCTAACCTAAGACTTACATTGTGAATAAAATAGGTAAAACTGAAGACATGAAGTAGTAGCGATGGAAAGATTGATGTAAATATAAGGCTTGTTGTATTTTTTTTGTTTTTCATCTAAAATGGATGAAGGCGTCTGATTGATGGGGTAACACACGATAAGGATGACATCACTCTAGAAACAATGGGAAACATAAACATGAAGCAAGAGGGTATGAATAGTCTCAGGAACATGTTTACTTTTACATTTAGCAACCCATATGAGGTCACGAAACTACGAAATGAATAAGACAAATATTATTTAGTATTATCACTTTATAAAGTATGAATAGAAAGTCAAAAATGAGTTTTATTTTCATTATAAAAAGACTAAAAGATTGAGAACAACTTAAAATAACTTTTCACTAAATAACGTATTTTGATCCTAAACTAGAAATGATATGACTAGGACCATATATAATTGAGTGATCTAAAATTGAGACTAAGCTTGACTAATGACACAATTAGAAAATTAACTTCAAACATGTTTACTTAATTGACACAATTTATAATTTAAAGAAGACAACTTAGAAAGACTCAACATTAAATTATAATCTAGGGAATTGTTGCTTGAATGTAGTGTGTGCTTAAAGGAAGACATGGTGAAGAAATTTTATATCAATGCATGGCCCTTGGAACTATAGAAGATGGAGAAGTATTAGGTTAGAAGGTTCATAGGATCATATGACAAGGATGCAATCAACGCATTGCTTAGTGACCCTTTCACCTTACAAGAAGGGGATTTATGCCATTACTAGCAGAGGAAGAGTAGTATAACTGGATTTGTAGATGACAATGCAGCTTAAACATTGTGCATTTCTCAACAAACCATCAAGGCAAACCAATAAGGTTCAAGAGGGGAAGTTTGAAACTTTGATATGGATTTAGAGTTCATTTCTATTTGCCAACATTGCTTCAACCACTCACATATGATATGTGTGCATACCTTGAGCTTACCTCATTTACAACATCACAAAGAGGATAATAGTGGACATTGCCATTGTGATCTTTGAGGAGATTCACTAGTTTGTGATATCCAACCCTTCCTCTTCTGCAGCTATAACAAAACCCTTGAGATTTCCCATATTGATCACTACATTTTATGCTATCAAATATGTTCAGAGACAAAATACTTTAGCACCAACCATCAAATTGAAAAAGTCAACAACGTCCACTTTATCAACAATTATTGCACTAACTCATTGGAGCAGGTATATGCACCTTATAATCTTTTTTCATCAGCACCACCAACGAGACCACCATACATCCCAATATGACATCCATGGAGTCTTATCTCACACACATCTTACTTAAATACAGTAGAAGATGGAGGCCAATCATTAGGCCTATACACACATACACCACCAAATGATGGCAAATCATCGAGCATACACACACTTAAATGAATTATTCTATCATTTCACCCTACACGAATATCAACGAGACACTTTTACATTTTCATGACCTATACCTGAAGAATTTGTAACACAAATCTCATGGCTTAGAGCTACCCTTCCCTTCTCCAATGAGCCCAATCAATAATAACAAAAAAAATTAAAGATGGATATGATGGGGGTTGGACTGAATAAGGTGTAAGACAAGAAAATGAGCTTGGTGAAGAGCAACATGATCTGAAGGAAAGATACCACATGGAGGAGGATTGTCCAATAAATAATGATGTGAATGAAGTTGTTTTATTTTTACCTTATTTTTTTATTTGACATTGTATTTAATTTCAAGGACCTTTAAACATTTAAACTTAATTACACAATTTTTATATATAATAAACATCTAGTCTATTGTAATTTCTGGACTTTATTTAAAAATTTGAAAAAAAAAAGAAAAAAGAAATGTTTGAGGAGTAAAGAAAGAAAGATAAAGAAAAGAAAAAAGAACATTAATAAAAAATCTCTTAATTTAAACTAACTTAAAAATATAAGTTTACAGAAATTTTAGAAGATTTATAAAAAAATATTTACATTTAAAAACTTTTAATAATTTTTTTCTCTCATTCCTAAAATTAATTGTGAAATAAAGTTTTAGAGTTTTGTTACATGTCAAGTGAAATTCATGATGGTATTGTCAATACTTTTTTGTTTCTTTTGTGTGTAAAAAAAATTAACTTTTATCAGTTTTTAAGTTTAACTCTAAAAATAAGATTAATTTTGATAGAATTATTAGTCTCAATTCTTAGAATTAGTTTAACCAATTGATTATAGTTTTATTAAAAATATTATTTAGTACGCTTTTATATCTTCAATGTAATAAATATTATTTTAATAAAAAATTATTACTTTTAAATACTTAAACTCAGTTTAAAAGCTGAGGTTAACTATTGTATTTTAGAAATTCGTAAGATAAAATTATACTCATTTGATTTTTCTTTTCTTAAAAAATAATAATAATGACACACTACAATAAGTATAAAAAGTATGCAGTTGACTATGCAAATATACATTGGGCATGGCAACAATGAAGGCAAACTTTTAAATACCTTTACCTTCTTCAATAATAATGTATTCCCATTAACTTTATTCTCCATGACACTCGTCCATGTATATGTGTATACTGCATACATAAAACGCCCTCTACATTATATGCGAAGACAGAGTTTTCTACTTTATATCTATACGCGCAAACTTGATTTGTGTGCCCTATGTTTCCCATGTCTTATGTAATTATACATTATATATACACATAAACTAACTTGCACGTCATAGTGCTTATTCTTTAATTAATTATGAATATACATTAATATCTATAATCTTATATGCGTATACGCCACAGGAATTTCTTAGAGGAAATCAACTATGAGTCTGAATTCATCCAAGCTCACAGCACCATCTCCATCGGCATCAAGAGAAGTAACAAGATGTTGACAATTTTCAAGCGACAAGTCTAGGCCCAAATTTTCCATGACCTCATGTAACTCTGGCCCAGTCAAAATTTCGTTCCCATCTTCATCCAGTACTTCAATTGCTGTGCTGAGGATGTTTGCAAGATTTTCAGCCTCCAAATCCTTAGTGTTGAGCTCCAAGAACTCATTTATGCTAAGCAACCCATCTTTGTTCTTGTCACCTTGTTGCATCATTGCCCTCACTTCTTGCTCACTAGTATTGAACCCAAGTGACCCCATGATTCCTCCTAGCTCTGCCTGTGTTATGCGTCCATCGTTGTCCACATCGAAAGCTCTGAACGCCTCCACTAGTGATAGAACATGGTTCAGTGTCTCCATTTCAGAAGAGAGAGAACCCGTTTGAGCCATGTTATGATGAAGTATATTGAAGCTTAGAAACTGGTGTGCTACTTTGTACTTGTCTATTGCTAGGTTTGTACCCTAAGTCGATGCTATATATAACTGGAAAGAGGAATGAAGGGTGTCATGTTTGCATTTGTGTGATGCTGAAGATACATGGAATAGGATCTAATGCTTGAAAACTTTATTCATTCTTATCAACACCCTTTCTTTAGGAATAAAGTTAGAAAACGTGTATTCTTATCAACCAACTTGAGCCATGTTATAATGCAAGTTTATGAATGATTTTATATTATATATCTAATAAGACAATGTCCATTTTATATCGTTAAGGTCACTTAATGTCATGTATCCTATTTTCCGTTCGGTAGCAAAATCATCACCACATTGGACAAAAATAAATATTACTCTTCAATTCTTTTTAATTGAATTTATTTATTTTTATATATTAAAGTTAAATGTTCTCTTTTAGTAGTTTAATCTCTTGCTTTTTTTTCCCTTTACAAAAAGCCATATATTATTTTTAATTTTATAATTTTGATTTTTTTTCTTTTGATTGTATTTTAATTTTAATATTTTACTCAATATTAATAATTTCAATCCATGAACAGAAAAAAAATCTATTTAGTCATAATAAGGGCTTACTTTCGTTGATGCAAATTTTATTTAGTAAAATTTAAATTCTTGAAAAAACGAGAGTAAAGTTTATGTATTATGATCTATATTAAATTTAGATACTTATGTCACTTAATAATTTTTTATAGAATATAAAATTGATTATTTCAATTATTGAATTATTTTGTATTATCTTTATGATCATAGATATTAAATTTTACATAATTTAGATATTTATAGATATGATATTCAAAATTTGATATTTAATTATAAAAAAATTTATATTGAAATAAAATAATAAAATGAAATACTTATTTATTTAGTTTTTATATAAAATTAATCTACTCCAAAAAAACTTTCAAACTAATAATTGAATTAATTAATCATTTATAAAAAATTATTACGCAATATAAATATTTAAAGTTTCACACCTACTATTAATCGTCCTGACTTTATTAGTAGAAATATTATAAGTCTACATTATTAATGTATGTTAATTTTTTTTATTAGTCTAAACCACATGTGAGAGTTTGATACATATTTAATAGTGGCCTAAATGAAACAAATTCAAATGAACTATCCAAGCAAGAAAAGAAGGTCATGAAACTTGGGCTCATAGATGATTCTTGAACTAAACAAGAAGATGTGGGCATGACTGAAAAAACATATAGGTATATTAAAGTAGTTTTGTTGACAAAGAGATCAAATGTAGTTTTATTTTTTCAAAAATGTTTAAGAAAAAAAAACATTTAAAAGGCTTCAACTTTTTTGCAGCTATTCCTTGGAAATAGAATTTATTGATCACATGGATTTATTTGATTTCTAATAAAAGCCAAACACTGCAATGCTTCATTCATTTTAAAAACATGATTGAAAATTAACTTAATTCCAAAATCAAGTACATACAAACTAATGGAGTAAAGGAATACTTGGCTTTTTCAAAATACTTAAATAATCATGGCATTTTTCATAGAATAAGTTGCCCATATACACATGAGTAGAATGGAAGTGCAGAAAGAAAGCATAGACATATCATTAATATGGGATTGTCTCTTTTAGCTCATGCATCTATGCCACTTAAGTTTTGGGTAGAAAGGTTTCAAGGTGCTATTATAAACAAACTTCCAACACCTATTTTACAATTGATTTCACCAATTGAGAAACTTTTTTCTACAAAACCTGAATACAACAACCTTAAGGTGTTTAGATGTGCTTGTTACTCTTACTTAAGACCATACAACAAATATAAATTTGATTTTAGGTCTGAAGAAAGCATATTCATTGGTTACAAACCTTCCTATAAAGGCTATTTGTGTCTATCATCTTCAGAAAAAATCTTTATTTGTAAGCATATTTTTTTCAATGAACATGTATTCCCCTTTGCTACTAATTCAACTTTCTTTAGTTCATGCAAAAATAGGTTTGATAATGATGTTCCTTTAGCTGTTCCATCTATTCCTATTATTCAACCTTCTCCTACATCAAATCCATCTATCACACAAAATATTTTTCCACCAAATTCTGAATTCTCCTACAACCACCACTACCTTACCTCCAACCAATCCTAAAACACAAACTCAACCATCATCAACCAGTGACACCACTACCATCACAAACACTCACCTTATGGATTACTAGAGCTAAAGCTGGAATTCATAAACCAAAAGCATACAGCACTGTCAAAACCACTGCTAAACTTAATTTTGACCTTTTTCATGAACTTAGATCTATCAAAGAAGCTATGGCTATTCCACATTGGAAAAAGGCTTGGAGGAAGAATACAAGGCCTTAATAAAGACCAACACCTGGACATTGACTACTCTTCCTGCTGGCAAAAACTTGATAGGATGCAGATGGATTTTTACAGTCAAAACTAACTCTGATGGCTCTAAAAATAGACACAAAGCACGGCTAGTTACAAATTGATTCCATCAAAGAGATGATTTTGAATTCTCTTAAACTTTTAGCCTTGTTAAACCTACAACAATCAGGATTATCTTAAGTATTGTTATATCAAGGAACTAGGACATAAGACAGATTAGCATAGCTAATACTTTTCTAAATGGAGACCTTCAAGAAGATATATACATGGCTCAACCCCTAGGCTTTGTTCAACCTGACAAAAGTTTCTTGCGTACAAGCTGCAAAAGTTCCTCTATGGACTCAAACAAGCTCCAAGAGCTTGGTTTGAAAGGTTAAACCTATCTTTATCTAAAATTGGCTTCAACTCTGCAAAAATGGACTCATCTCTCTTTCACAGATTTCATAAGGATCATATCACCTTTATTCTTGTATATGTGGATGATATAATCATTTGTGGTTCTTCTACATCAGCTATCTCCTTTGTAGTTCAACAATTACAAAGTGAATTTCCTATTAGAGACCTTGATTTCCAAATTACTTCCTTGGCATTCAAGTTGATCAACTTCCTAATGAAACTCTAATGCTAACTCAAAAAAAGTACATCATTGATGTCTTAAAAAAGGCTACTATGTACACGGCTAAATCTATTAAAACACCAATGGTTGCTGGTTTGAAACTCCAACCTTTGGAAGGAACAACTCATGATGAAGTAACTCAATATAGATCCATTGTGGGTAGTTTACAGTACATCACAACTACAAGACCAAAAATTGCTTTCTCAATTAACAAAGTTTGTCAATTCATGCAAGCTCCTAGGGATATTCATTGGATGGCTGTCAAAAGAATCCTAAGATACCTAAGTGGACCTCTCAATACTGGTCTATATCTCACCAAGTCTCTTGACTTCACAATCAGAGAATTTTGTGATACGAATTGGGGATCAGATTTGGAAGATAAGAAATTAACTACTGGTTATGTAATATATCTTGGCGCTAATACTATTAGCTGGTCTTCTAAGAAACAACAAGTAGTCTTCAAGTCTACAACTGAAGCAAAATACAAAAGTATTGCTGCTATAGCTGCAGAAATGGCATGGTTAAAGAATCTTCTATATGAGTTTCACATTACTACAACAAGTAGACCCACAATATATTGTGACAACCTGAGTGTTGTTTTATTATCTGTCAATCCTACCTTATACGCTAGGACTTTTTGAGATAAACTTGTATTTTGTTAGAGATAAAGTTCAAAAGAAGCAAATGGCTGTCCAACACATTCCTTTATCAGAACAAACAACAGACATTTTTACTTAAGTCCTACCTTTTCCTACCTTCAATTATTGCAAAAACAAACTTAGTGTTCGTTTACATCCCACCCTGAGTTTGAGGAAGGGTATAAGAGATATCTAAAGAATTTTAGTTATGTACTTTTATCTTTTATTAAGTATAAGTTTGTTATTTAATGGCTCATGACAGTTATTTTTTGTTACATCTATAAGTTCTTAGTTTAGTCTTTCTTTATGTATATAAAAAGATTCTTTTATACCTATTTTCTATATGTGCATTCGTATTCATTTTTATTCAATTCAATAATATAATTCAGTTTTTCTCTTTCTCTCATCTTTGTCACTGACTACTTGGATTGTTTTTTCATTACCGCGCCCTACCTATCTTGACTTATATAACATAAATTCACTTGTAAATACTCATATATACTCATATTCTTTGCTGTTTGCAACTTGATTTTTCAATCAATTAAGTTATTTATTTAGTGGTCCCTGAAGTCGAAAATATTATCTAGCATTTTGAGGAATATGATTTTATGTCCAATGTTTATGAAAATGACTCAACTCTATCAAATTACATTGCAAGTAGCAGACTCCAATCACTTTCAGCTAGTTGCCAGTATATACTAACTTTAATATATTAAATGGACATCTGCATTGAATTTGATAAAATTTTGTCACTTTATCTTCCTTCGCTAAGTTAGATAATGAAGGGTAACTTTGTCTTCAACTTGCCAATAGGATATTTTTATATCTTTTTTATAAATCCGTTTATTTGAATATTCTTATTAAATAAACTATTTTTATAAGATTTTATAAAAAAATAAAATTAATAGATATTTTAAATATTAAAGTTTGAATAACAAATATGTAAATTTTTATATATACAACCGTGAAGATAATATAAATATTATTAAGGAAGAACTTGTATCATTAATAGATATATAAATTTATTATATATGATTTCAGCTGTGAAATTATAATAATATATTATTTGATTGTTAGTTTTAAACTTTATTAAAATTAAATAATTATAAAAATATAATAAAAGGTTTTTTATTTTATATATTTTAAAGTTCTATTATATTAATTTTAATAAATATGGATAAATATTAAATAATTTTATATTAATATAAGATTTATAGATATAATTTATGTTATAAGAGCTTTCAATCTAATAAAAAAATATATAGAATGGTATACGAATTGTGTAACGCATTATAAGTGGATCCTTATTCAAAAAGTTTATATACATTATGGGTATCTCTCAATCCATATTTGAAGATTAATCCTTGACGAGTAAATATAACCGAAATGAATTGTACATCTTTCTATAAAGTTTTTTTTTTTCATGCATATAAATAAGAATGAAACTCGTATTTGCATGCTCAAGGAGATTTAACTGGTCAAGAATTTGCTGATAATAATAAAATTTTAAATATACAACAAGTTAAATAATTTGAAAATTTTAATTAAATTGAAGAAAAATTTCTTCACATCTTTTTATAGCTTTATTTTGTGAATAACTTTAAAAATAAAAAATAAATAAAATTCATAATTATATAAACAAAAATTTAATTAAATTATTATTTTATATTTAAATAAATAAATAATCCCTATAAATAGTTTCATATTATACTTGTCACATGTTGCTTCGAATATCGAAAAGTTTAAATAAATAATTAATCTCCATAAAATACATCTTTTTTAAATTAATTTTTATTAAAATTTTTCTTTTATTTCAATTTTATAAAGTTTTATTTTAAAATAAACTCTATTATTATTTATTGAACCACCATTCGTGATTTAAGTAACATTACTTACTTCATCTTCCTCTTAAAAATATTTGAAGATAATATTATTTAAAACTAAAATATTATTTTTTTAAAGAATTTGTAATTACTTTAAATTTATATTTCTAATTTTTTTATAATTTATATATTTTTTATGTGTGAGGTAAAAAAAGTTTAATTTAATCATAGTCAAATTTATATTAAACGGTAAGAATATAAATTTCTTTTCTCGTAACAATAAAAAAACATATAAATTAAGAAACTTTAAAACATTTTCATGTTGAAACATAAGTTGCAGACATTTCTGCATCATTTTTAAGAGATTACTTTAGATAATAATAATAATAATAATAATATCGTTTAAATAAAAATTAGTTATTACAAAAAATAATTTTTATGATTTTTTTTAGACATTTACATTCTAATTAAATTCTTATTTTACAGTTGTTATTATTTTAATTTCGTAAAATCAACTTATATGAAATATTCGTACTTTTTATTTTATCTTTCTTTGACTCCGACTCACAATCAAATAATTATAATATGACAATATGATTACAAAAGGATTCATTGTCCAAGTGACATAATCTACTTAGAACGTACATTTTTTTTTTCGGTTTTTCTCGCCTTAAAGTTTAAGTAGCCGCCTCTGACACGAAAAATGTAACATGCTTTGTGTTTTAAAATTCAACTCTAATTTCTTATATTCTGTTTTTAAATCTTATTGACATTTTTTTTCATTAAATTTTATATTTTTACACTTGCTTTTGTTTATATTTTTCCGCTTCTTTTTTTATATAGATATTTTTCTGATCTCTCTATGTTCCATTCATTTTACACCATAAAATAAAGTGTTAAATACTCTCTTTTTTTATCTCTTTCTTCCATCTATTTCTATCATATTACCGATTACATTTTTTTTTTCTTTTCTCAATTTTTTTTCTCTATGTAATTTTTATCACAGTCCCTTATTTCATGTATTCCATACTGTCATACCCCATAATGATCTGCTTTCGTCATTGATCAGAACAACAAATCAAAGATGATTTCAATGTTTAAAAATTAGTATCTGCCTTTTCCATTCATAACAAAAAGGGACAAAATACGTGTTTGCAGTGTAAATATTTGACTATTTCCTCCCAACGACCTTGGAGATCATTCCCAAATAGTGTGGATTTTATTATTATTATTATTATCTTAATAGAGATAGCTGGCTTGCATATAATTGTAGTTAAATCTCTTGACGTTATATATCAAATTTTCAATTCATTAATAGAAATTGGTCAACGAATTCAACGGCAGGCGTGTTATTTATTTAATACGTCCAGTTAAATATAATTGCTTCAAAAGTGCTTCATTAATAAAAATTGCTCCAAAAAAACACTTCAAGTTTTAAAAGATTATAATTAAATATAATTTAAACATGTATTAACTATTGATTTAAATTCTTAAAACGTAAACATTTTATCTCAAGACGTATTATTACAGTTTGAATTTTAAAACTATTTGTCGCATCACACGTTTCATTATATGTTATTAATATATCCCCACAGTAATTAAAATTTAATTTACTAGCAGTATATTGACAATTTATAGACAAACTTCTCAGCTTAAAAACCAATCCAGTCAAACGGAGAACCCCAAAAGTAAAAGAAAAGTATAATATTTGAAACCATGGACAAGTAATAGTATCAATGGTGTTAAAACAGAAGAAAAGGGTTGATTTGACTAACACATGGATAGTTCATATTGGCATGTAAGAAACAACCAATGGGGAGTAATTTATTTGACGTCCGACGGAATCTTTTCTAGAAAAGTAACAAGGAAATGATATTTTATTTGAATACATAGACAATATATATGAATAAGATATTGGTGCTAATGCGGATTCCTTAATAGGACAAAAGCGATTTAAGTGAGAAGGGACGGATGGGTGTGCGCGGAAACTGGATCATACATAGTAAGATGACCTTTCCGCTCAGCAAACAACACATAAGTTTTCTTGACGTAAGGGTAATGTGAAGGGTGACAGTCACGGTTGAGCTAATATTGTTTATCACATTTCATGATCGATCTTTCCACGTAGAATTTATGCGAACATAAAAAAAAATCATTCTAGAGCAAATCAATTCTTCAATAGAGAACCAAAACAACTAAATGGAAAATTCTGCCTTTAATTAACTTTTATTTATTTACACTACAGTAGTCAAAAGATCTTGACTTGCATGTCTACAAAACCTAAAAAGGAGGAACACTTAATCCTCATAATCATCACATGGACACAGTCCATATACAATTTTTCATTTTCATTTTTTTTTTTTTTTGCCCTTAAAAAGAATGAAACAAACGATACTCCACAATAGCCGAAACACAAATAATAATAACACTACTCCACATACATACATATACAACACAACCTCTTTGTATTCACCCTAAAACAACAACAAATCATTCTTAATGTCATACCCCATCTTCTCCAAGTTGGGTTGCACCGCGAACTGAATCATGGGTGGTGGCCCACAAGTCAAAGCCAACGTGTCCCCCGAAGGTTGTGGAAGATGCTCCTTCATGATACCCTCCGTGATGAAACCCACACTATATTCCCACTCTTCCTTGGCGGTTTCCACAACATACCAAACCTTAAACCGTTCAGGATAATCCTTCGCCCACGCATCCATCTCTTCCCTCAACAATATATCATCCTCAGTGCGGTTCGCATACACCACATGCATTTCAGTGTGGTCCTCAGGGTCCCTCAAAATCGCTTGTGCCACTTGGTAAATGGGTGTGATCCCGGTCCCACCAGCCAACATGGCTAGCCTCTTAGCATATCTATGTTTCCCATGAACCGAAAAATTGCCTCTTCCATTGTACTCTATGTGACCCAATGGCCCTTTAACGTCCAAAATAGACCCAATAGGGCGTGAGTCCAAATGCTGAGACATGAGTCCTCCATTCGGGAACTTGGGGTGCACACCTTTGAAGTAAACCTTGATGACTAGTTCAAAGTACCCCACTGCGTCTGCAGCACTAGATGGAGTGTAGGCGCGCATGCATAGCTTGCCATCGATGGTTGCACATAGGAAAATGTGCTTCCCCACTGGTAACCCCAAGAGTTGGTCCTCTGAGGGCAGTGCAAAACGGAAGAGCCTCACGTCCCGCGAAATGGAGGTTTTGGACACGAGCTTACATGGAATCTTCTCGCGTGGGTTCAGAGCCACGCTGCAAGATGATGTTGTGGTGATTTCCTTAATGGGGGCCAAATGAATGGTTTCGGAGTTTCCATGCATGGAGTTATTGGGTGATGAGTCTGAGGAGTAGCCTGTTCATGCATAGCAATCCATATAAAGTCAATTAACAACAAAATAAAATTTCTAACCAGACAAAATTTTAATAATAAAGTAATCTCAAATAAAAATTCTTCTTTACAATCATAATATTAAGAGAAAAACTTTTTTTTTAATCAAATATTATATTTTTATATTTAATTTTCATTTCAAAGCATTCTTTCTATTACACATTTTATTATCGAATAATTAAATTTTATTGTAAATTTTCAAATTAAGTAAATTTCAATTTTTTAATTTTTATCACATTTATATTTAAATTTATAAATATTAATTTACAGTAAAAAGTGTGTAAATAAGGAGGTTAGAGCGTTATTAACATGAAATAAGCAAACATAACGAACAACCCAATCAATAATATTACCTGAACCCGTGGTGATGAGCTCCCCAATTCGGTAATCCTCAAGCATTTTCTTGGCTTTGTCGGAATGGATGGCGTCGAACTCTTCGGTGCAGTCAGTGCCGGCATTGATGAGGATGCTGTCGGTACCGCCGGGGTGGTCTTTGAGGAAGTCGGTGCAATCATAGACATGGCCATGGACGATGATCCATGCGGAATCGGGGGTGTTATGTTTTTTAACTTCGGAGAGGGAGAACGTTTTTGAGGTTGTATTCATGAATGGTGTGGAGACACTCTTCTTCATGGCTGGGGTTGGGTCTTGTGATATCTCCAAGTGTCTCTCCTTTGCCATCCACCCACCGGGCTTGTTCCCTGGTTGGGTTGGGTGCTCAAACACAATGCCAATCTCACCCTTGTGAGGCTTGCACACGTTCGTTTTCACCCTGAACCAGCAATTGTTCATCATACCCTGCACGGAACCAAACGTCACACCAAAAGCTTTGTTAGCACTCAACGAAGAAATTCTTAGCAATTCGTTAAAAACAGCGTTAATGTAATATGAATATAAATACACATCATTGGATCTCATTTATATGCTTTTATATATAACAAAATATAGGTAAGATGTCTAGCTAGAGTTGAGAATATTAATTTATAATGGTTAAATATCTGTCCACTCAATGGGGCAGTGCAAATGATAGGTGATGAAGTCAAATTGAAGCTCATTAATTTTAATTTCCTAGATGGTGGACCATGGGACCCAACTTCTCGGAACAAATGGTAATTCGCCAGTGTGGCCATAGTTACTATCTCAATATTCCTATTTTTGACAGATGCCTTCTAAATAATGAACTGCTCTTGCTACCATTTCAATATGCTATGGAGCAAAAGCAAATAAAGAAACATTTGTTTTAAATATATCAAAAGAGAGTTTCTTAGAGACATATAGGTACCATAACATTCCAAATGAGGTTTTCAGGCTGGGTGTTGAGGCCCTCATCCCAGGCACGGACCGCAATCTCCTTGGTTCCAAGGAGGTCCAAGACCTCCACCTCCAGAGACCAGAAGCACCAGCACCAGTACTTGCCATATTTGTTGGGTTTCTCTGTATGGTCAATTGTGCACACGTCCCACGTTTCTCCTCCGTCCAATGTTACCTCAACTCGTGTGACTTTCCTTCCTCCCCCTGCACGTACAACATGTCAACATCAACTGCATGTTGCAGCCACAATCCCACTCCCTAATTAAATGTGCAGCCGCAACTCCAATCCAAAACACTTGACATCAATTCAGCGCCAACCAGTTGAAAGGAAAATCAAACATTATTCTTTTAATTCTCACACTAAAATTTATTTGTGCACAAGTAATTATTATTAAGTTAGTACTCGTAACCAATTTTTCCTTTTCCCCTTCCAGGCTAGGGTTATTAATGTCAACAAATTATGTTATTTTTCCTTAAAGATTTAAAATATATAATAATTTTGTATTTATTTAATGTTAAAGAAATTTCATATTATCTTACCATGTGGAAATTTTATGGTGATAATTCATTCCAATAGTTCCCTTCTTTTAATGACGCTGTACTTGTTCCTCAAAAGAAGAGGAATGGAAAAAACAAAAACTCACCAGAATATGCGTAACCTCTCAGTACATAAGGCCTCTGCGTAGTCCATGAGTTGATGGGCAGAATCTCCTCGTGACCCGGCGTCGTTATCACTGAGTTAATGTTCAACTCGTTGATGATATATTCCGGCTTGTACCACCAAGCTGCAAAAACACAGGGCAAAGAAAAAAAAACAAAAATTACTTAAATTTCTATCCACAAAAAGTTTCTTGGACAGAAACATGTCATATGTTGCACACATGTAAAGTTAGAATAATGCACCAAAATATCTTTAAAAATTATGAATATCAATTAATTAAGAGAGGTGAAAGGAAAAAAATTAATTATGAGATAAATAAATTATAAAAATGAATAAAGATAATGATTAAAAAAAAGAATAATTAGGATCGAACACTCTTATTTTTATCGTACAAGATGTTTAAAATAACATAATAAAAAATATAAAAAAGTAGAAATATTTCTTTGCATGAATACTAATGATAAAAAAAAATTGTTTGGTGTTATAAAAATGTATAATAATAAAAAAGCTTTCATGCAATAATAATAACACTTGAGAAAAGAAGTAAGAAAGCATGAGAAGAGTAAGGAACACATACCTTCTTCGTTGGCAAGTTCTGCATAAACGTGAGAAGGGAGTACTCTATTATCCTTAAAATGGTAATGATTGTTACACTCAACAGGAGTGACCACAATGCGCTTCAGCCATTTAACCATTCGGCCACCAATAAACCCGGGTATAATCATGCGAACGGGGAACCCATGGTCCGGTGTCAAAGCCTCGTCGTTTTGCATGTAAGCCAATATGATATCACGCGAAGGATCCATAGCAAACTCCCGCTTAATACTCGTTCCATACTTTGAACCACCACCACCAGGTAGATCCTCCTCGCCCTCGAAGCACACGTGCAACGCACCCTTCGCACGTGAGTAGATCCCGCACCGCTTTAACACGTGCCGCAGAGGCACGCCGCGCCACACCGAGGTTGAGACAGCCGCGGGGCCCCAATTGAAGCCGACGCTTTGTTTTACCATGTTCTGCTCCTTGCGGCGGTTCCCGGCGCAGACGAGAGTGGCGGGGAACTCGCGGCTGGGGAACTCGCGGATGAGCCGCTCCATGGTGAAACGAGTGGGCCGTTTAACGAGGCCTGTTACCTCGACAGCCCAATCCTCCCAACGGGCCTTGGGAACAGGCCCGTGGTTGCGCACGTAGTGGAGTGGGACCGGGGTGATGAAACCGTGGTGCATGAGGCGTGGGAGGGGTGGTTCAGAGTTGAAGGGGTGCTTCCCTGTGAGGCGGACCATGGTACCGTTCCGTGGGATCCATTGATCCGCGGTTCCCTCGTCGCGTGGGTCCAACACTGACGCCTCTACCTCAGCGTTTGCCTTTTGTATTAGCTCTTTCAGGTACGAAGCGTCGTCGTTTTCGTCATCATCGCTGCTCGAGGAATCGTAGTGTAAATCAAGAGGCAGAGGTGGTTTTAAGTCGTGCCCACAACCGCGAACGACACCGTTTATGTGGCCACCGTATTGACGGTTGTCAACCGAAGCCGCCATTATGAGACTTGTTTGGAGAAAGAGAAATTGGTGTTAAGATGAAGTGGTTTGGGGTATTTATATAGAGAAGGAGGGCTCTGTGGGCGAAGAAAACTGATATACGGAAGCATAGCCTTTAGTATTTGACCCCACTCCAATCAACCATCGCTCGTTCACTTCACTTCCTTACATCACCTCTTCTTTTGCTTTTTCCAAATTTACTATTTTTTCAACTTCACACCGTGTTTTAGTACCATAATATCTATCTAACAAGGGCATCAAATATCTTAAACTGGAACGAAACATGCATCTTCTTACTCCACTCTTACTGTTTACTAATCACATTTCTTTCAAACAAAAACAGTAAAAGTGTATATTTAAATAACTATGTTCTCTTTTTTTGTTTAATAAGTACAGTAAATATAACAGTATAATCACCAACGTTTTTTTACTAATAGTAAAATTTTTCACATACTATTTGGACATACTTTTTATTATATTAATTTTATAACAATTTTTCTATCCCATGTACGAAGTTTAATTAATTATACGTTAATCAGTGAAAAATAAAAATTATTAAAAAAAATTTATTACATTAAAACCATAATTGTTTATTACATTGAATTTTTTATTTTTAACTCATTAATACTTGATGCTTAGGATAAAAATCGTCTTATAAATTTTTATTTAATTTAAATCGCATGTCTAACACACAATCATCTTTTGAAAAAAAAAAATAGATACGACAAAATGTACAAAGAAACATAACGTATAAGAATTTCTAATATTTTTAAAGATCAGTAAGACTTTTTTTTTTCTCTTGGTTCAACTAACCAAATTTTATATAATTTTTTGCTGATTAACTATATTAACTATTTGTTTAAATGCATCAAAGAGTCATAACAGCAGGAAATTTAAATCTATCCTTCTTTTTTCTTTTTTTCAAATTGGTGGTACCCAGATATTACTTAATTTGAAGTTTTCCTCCAATTTTGTAAAATGGTTGTTTTATTAAAAACTTGAATTTAAGACCTCTAGTTAGGGGTGAATAATTAGTTTGGTTTCTGGTTGAATAATTACAGCTTAACTTGCATTAAGTTTAAATTAGTTTAGTAGCGTATTTTATTTCACATTAGATTACATATGAATTTATCTTTAGTTTTAATCTATGTTTAGTGACTTTTTAATGTATTTTGAACGCCACTAAATCAATTTACAAATTGTATTAAGTTAGTTTTTAATTTAGTTGTATATGTTAAATTCAGGGTTATTCCAAAATTATTTTAACTATAATAAGATGATTTTTTAAGATAATAATTATCATTTAAATATATTTTATTTATTTATTTAAACAATCAAATTTACTAATTTACATATAAATTTAAGTTTAATACTATTTAGAGACAATGTTTAACCCATTCAAAAGGTCTTACTATTAAATAAGTTTTTCAATAAGTTTTAGGTCGGGTAAGTTATTTATAAGTTTAGTTCAGATCATAAAAAAATTTATAAACGTAATAGGTGAGGCTTAAATTTTAAGTTGAAAAAATAAGTTAATTTCTAGTATCTTAATTCAACTTTATTTTTACCTCTATCTATATTTAAATTAGAACAATTTCCAATCATGATTAATTAATCCACATGTCTAGTTGATATATATCACAAGTTAATAAAGTTAATTCATATATTCAGAAATTAAAATACCATATTAATTGTGAATAACCAATTTTATTTTGGTTTCATTTTAAAATAATAAAATAAAATTTCAAAATTGCAAAATAAAAAAGTAAATATAATGATTAAATTTTATAGAAGATTAAGTTAATGAATAAAAATTAACTTAAAAAAATTCAAAATGGTAAGAGATTAGTGATATTTTTTTTATGAGAAATAGGATTTAGGGTTTAAAATAACTTAAAATCTAAACATCTTTGATTTTAAAGATTAAATTTCTTTTTTGATAGACTTGAAATTATATTTTTAGATTAATGTTAGAAGAGTTCTATATTTGATATTATTTTTTTCTTTGCTTTATTAACCAAATTTAAAATTAAAAAAAGTAAGTTATGAATAAAAAGCATATGTGGAAGAAGAAAAAAAAAAGAGAGAAAAAAAAAAGTAAAGAGAAACTATAAAAAGTTGTCTTTAATCTTCCTTTGATTGAGAAAGTAACTAAACATTTAAACATAAACTTAAGTACTAATTGTGATAATTAATTATTAATACATGCATGTATGTGAATAAAAGGATACTGACTGGCCAGATGGGATCTGTCCACATAACCATCGCGACTTTCTCCTCAAAGGCATATCGAACAAATATCACTATTTTCTATATAAGGCCTTCATTTTCTTCCTTTAATAATACGCAAACTGTACTTATTGGAGCTATTTTTAGCTTAAATATTGAAGACTGAAATTTTATTTTCACTGAAGACCTTTGACTATATTTATTCATTGTACATTAGCCAAATTATCAAACAATTCAAACTTGTTTGAAATATAATTGTTAAGACAATTTTTGAAAAGATAGTGTAAGTTTTTATTAATTAATAATACTTCAATATGAATTATTTAAAAAATTTAATTTGAGATAGGTGAATGAGTTTGAAAAATTCTTTAGAGAAGACAATTGTTTTATGGGAGGAGGATTTATAACAGAAATTGTGAAAAATTATTGAAAGTAAGAGGTCGAGAGAAAATATGAATAACATGTTATTGTGAAAGTGTGATGGTGACAAGAAATATAGTGTATAATCCACTTATCACTACATTTATCATTTTTTCATTGCAGGTAGCAATTTAGAATTGGGTCTAATACAAACTTTACGCAAGATTTAGAAGGTCAGTGCACTGAAAAAAGTAGATATATTCGTTTAGCACCTATTGCTTAATACAATCTCAATGCGAAAGAACTTAACTAAATATGAATTGACAATTCCTTTAGAAGCATGTGGATTGTGTGATACTTAAGATGATGACATATTACATTTTTTTTTGCAATGCGGTGTCTCTATGAAGTTGTGATACATAGTGTTTGAATAGTTTGATGTCAATTTATAGTTACCTGAAAATTTGTACAAAATGTTACTAAGCATGTGTGGAATACAATGTGAAAAAAAGAAATAAATGTGAGTTATAATGGTTGGTTTGTAATAGTATGAACAATTTGACTTCAGCAAAATAATATTTTCTTCAATAATAATGTTAGATGCTAATGAAATGTTTGATTCTATTAAGTATCGTTTGGCTTGCAGTAAGGTCTTTGAAAAGATCGATTGTATATATGAATTAGATTAATGATCTCTTGACATGTATTCTTAATTTTCTTTAAAATTATAACGGGTTAAAATATCTTTTGTGCTCTAAATTTATTCTTAATAAAATATTAATATTTAGTAAAAAAAATATTTTAATATTATCTAAAAGACTATGCATTGTTACATTAATGAATAATAGACAACAAATATTTTTTAAAGCGGTGCAAATTTTTAAGATATTAATGCACTGAGTAACATAGAAGTTGATCTAACTAAATCAAAATAGACATTAAAAATAACAAAGATAATTATGTGAAAATAAAAGTCATGTATTTTATTTTCTTATTATGTCGATAAAAAATAGAGTCAAGAATTCAAGAAGCATATTACTACGTACGGTATTATGAAAGATGTTTGACATATAAGAAAATTTACATTAAAGTTAATTGATGTGTCTAATAAACAAATGATTGTGTCCGAAGAATATTTTTTTTTAAATTTATTAAGAAAAATACGTCCATACAAAAAGAAAAGATATGAGCACAGAAAAATTTGTGCTTAAAATTAATTCTTCTCAAATTTTTTATTCTTTTTATATAAATTTTTTTAAGTGAAAATGAGATTTTACAAGTTGTCTAGAAAGACAGTATAGGAAATATTTAGAGTGTGTTTTGTAATTAATTGAAAAAGTTGTGTTATAAAAGAATATTCATGGTTGATAAGCTCAGGGAATAATACTCAAGGATGATAACTCTAGAGAGGTTGCTGTAAGAATCCTTGAATTGTAAGGTACAAATTGTAACATTATTAGTAGTAAAATTTTTAAATGCGTTCTAAACATAATCCTTAGCTATTTCAATATAATTGAGGGCAAAACAGTATAAAATTCCAATTATTTAGTTTTCCAACTCTATCTCTCGTGCATTTAAATATTTGTTCTTTAAGCAAACATGATAAAAATTATTCAAGCCTTCCTTCTTCTATTTTTTAGCTATTTTAATAAAATTAATTTTAATTTAAACCTTTAAAAAGAATACAATTTTTATCAATTTGAAAATAATTTTGTCTTTAATCTGATAAAAAAAAAACAATAAAGAAATTGTAATGTCATATAGGTATTGCTCTCACAAAAGACATGTCACAATCATGTGCTCGAAAAGGAAAGGAAAATGAAATGAAACCGCATTTAGGGAAAATTTATATATAGAGATTAGAGACAATAATAATATTACGCGATTGGAAGGGCAAAAAAATGTTATTTTCACTTTACAACAAAGACGTCTAAATTAATTGTGGTCTTGGATTTTTCTCACTTAATTATTTCTCTTTCTTTATCAATCGATTCAATTGTTTGGAAGTCAAATTCCTCTCTTTAATAATTTGACAAACACATATATTAAGATTAAAATTAATGAAAATAATTTGTGAATTGTATTCTCTTTTATTGTAATGTTTTTTTTATTTTTTTTCTTTTATCTTTGTTATTTTTGTTTTAAATTTTAAAACTTACAGTTGTTATTTAAGTTTTTTTATTTTTTTATATTTTTCATAAACACTTGTTTTTATATTTATAAAAGTTATCTTAATCTCAGATTTGGAGTTTACTATTATTTGATTATTGATATTTAATTTATTGCTTTTACACATGATAAACATATTATTTTAAAATTATTTAATTTTATTAAATCTTTAATATATTTGTACATACTATTCATAGTTATAGAATTAGCCAAAATATTTTATATTCTTTAATCATTAAAATTATGTGTATATTTATTATAAAATAAAATGCATGTGCTTTGTAAGGGTCGATAAAATAATTTATATATAAATGTTGATATATAATTTTCAATTATTGAATTTTTTTATTTTTAAAATGTGAAAAAAAAATTATCATGTTTTTTATTTTATTTTTTATTTTTATACAACTCTCGTGGCATGTAAGGAGAATGATTCTGTCTATGGTCAATTGACAAATTTTCCAACAAATCACTGAGC